AGAGGTTGTATAGCTTTGTGGATTTCAGATCTTGTGTTTATTCAAAGGATGGTGGAGTTCGCTTAAATGTGTAATCAATGGAGGATGTGAAATAGTGATTGAGAATTCTTATATCTTCTGACACTTGAAAATGCTTCTAAATGGATATCATTATTAGTGTAATTTATCAAATTTAATAAGGTGCTGATTCTAAGCTGCCTGACTGCTTCAAATGCCTCTAAGAAAGAACAAAACACTGCTACTTTAACTGTTGCTTAAAAATGTCATGTGGAGTTTAGACATGTTAAGAGGAAGAACAGGAAACACAGTATCCTATTTCTCTTTCCTCTACCTCATGTCAACGTTTGCATTATTAAAGCAAATCTTTAAGCAGTGAATGTCAATTCCTGAAGAGAAGGCATTTTGTGTGTGTGAGGAACTGTAAAGGGACCTGTGTGGCTTTGGCAGAGAATGGGGTAGGGTAAGGTCCCACATAGCCAGGGGACAGATCTGCAGGGCCCTGTAGTTCCTGTAAAGAATGGGAATGTTACTGAAGTGTTCTAGGCAAGAGTTTGAAAGGTACACGGTGAAAGGTAAGCAGAGGGAGTTCAGCAAGGAGATTATTGTACAGCGCCTCATGAGAGAGGACAGTGAATTGGCTCAGGATGGTAGCAAAATAGGTGAAAGGAAGCCAGGGGTGTGGAAGACATTTCTCGTGTAGCCAACAAGGTTTTCTACTGACTGGGGGATTAATTACAGGACAGGAAGAAAGTCAAGGAAGGCCTCAGGATTTGGAGGTTGAGTGATTGAGAGAATGGAGTCAACTGAAGTGGTATGATTAGGAGTTGAGGTTTGGAAGAAGTCTATATTTTACTCAACTTTATTCTCAGTCCTGATCTGTATCTTTCTCTAAGGTTTATTTTTTCTTTTCAATAAATATTTTTTGAGTAGCTGTTCTCTCTCCAGATATGCACTGGTGAGTAAAAATTAACAAAACGTACCTTTTATTTCCAGAAAGTTTGCCATCTGTTGGTAAGATAAGATATACAAATAATTATAATTTTTCCTTAACAAAGCAATAAGTCTTTAATGTCATAATAGGGATACTTAAAATGCCAGCAATCAGAGGCGGAAGGCATTTATTACCATTAGTACTTATAAGTCTTTAGTTCCTTACATTGCAAAATTAGAGTTCTAATGTAATACCTTCACTGTCATTGGGGGTATACTGGTCTCCTTGCTGTACCTCAAACATCCTTAGTTTCAAGTATGCTACTTCCTCAAGCACCTGTTTGTGTTTGCTGTTCTTTTTCATAAACCTCCCTTCTGAGAGTCACCTGGCTTGCTCTCTCTCCGCTTGGGTCTTTGGTCAGTCGCCTTATCCATGAGTCCTTCTTGACTACATAAAGGGACGCCTATTCCCTCTACATATTGTATTTCTGTTTCTAGCACCTGTCATGTTTCCTTATATTATATACAAGGCAACTTCCGAAAGTTTGCAGAAAATGGAAACAAGTTTGAATTTAGAGAATAGGGGGATGGCTCTTTAATCATATGGCTTGTTCATCATGACAAATGGATCATAGTGATAAGGAGATGATAACAGTAGGAAATGCTAAGTGTGGGGCAGGTGGGGATGCTGTATTCACGATTTTTGTTTTGTGAATTTAAAATTATTCTGAGATAAAAAGCTTGACAAATAAGTTTATTTTGGTATCTCTAATTTTTAAAATTTATGCATAGATTTTTTTTCCCAAAAATTTTTCATGAAGTTTTGAAGATTAACCACAACATTCTGGGAAATGAGGTTGGATACGGGGGTCTGGTTTCATGAACAAATGCTTGGTTTCAGAAGAGAGGATGCCAGGGAGCAATTCATGCTAAGGTACAGTGCTTCTGCCAGCAACCAAGTATAGGAGCAGCTGGCGTCAAGCCATTGGCTTGGGCTATTGGGAAAAATTTGGAATTGGGACATAGTGTCAAATCTCTACAAATGAATAAGCATGGGCCTTTTGCTCATGTCTTTATGTAAATTTTGAGAATAATTACCTGGACCTGCCTGCTCCATAAGCTATGCTGTTTTAAGGGTGAAAAAGAAACAAGGTATGGGAAACCATTTTGCAAACTGTTAAAAATTCTTATTTTTGGAGTCAGGATGGCAACTAGCAATACCATGACAATGGATGGTAGCCAGAGAAGCCAGAAATACCTGTGTTAGCCAGCCAGAAGGCCTTCTCAAGAGGTCTCCGTGGCAGGCAGACACACGCAGCACAGTAGCAAGGGAGGAAGCAGAGCTCCACTGCATTAGTAGCCAGGATTCGTCCCAAATGTTAATACATCTGAAAAATGCATTGGAGCCTCTCACTATTTAGTAGAGCCACTGGGGCTGGGGATTAAAACACTTAGCACACCCAGCAATGTCAAGAACTGAGCTGAGGGAGGAAGACATCACAGCTGGCCTGAGATAAGGGTGTGGTTTGAGAGGTCTGGAAGGAACCAACAGCACATCACGAACAGACCTCACCTCTGGGTAACTTTGGCCCCACTGACATCTTGCATTAGTATTTGCCCATCCCACTATTCATTGCAATGTCACTTCTCAGAGAACATGCAATCGGAGAAACAGTTACTTCATCCCAAAACATTTCAGATATGTATCTCAAGTTAGAGCAAAACGTATCACACATCAGGTGAAGAAATGATGTTTGGTAAGAATAAACAAGATGAGACTAGACTGCCATATTCACGTCTTGACTCAATTCAAGATGGAGAACGTAGTCAGTAGGGAACATGAAAATGTTCTCTTTAGGAAAAGGAGCGTGCTTCTTGCCAAAACTGCTGGCATAGGCTTTGCCTAATTGTTATTTCTTTAAGTGTCAGCTACTCCTTGGCCTAGAGCCATTTATGCCTTTGCTAGGAGCAGATCGCAATCAGGCGCTCTCCTGGTGTGACACTGGCAGAAGGGCCCTGCTGCCTCCAGTTCTTCAGAGTAGCAGTGGAAAGCCTCATTCACCAAGCTGGTGTGTTTTTTAAGCACAGAAGTTCTGCTGCTTCTGAGCCAGGCTTGCACACAGAGCTTGCATGAATCCTTTTTTTGTTCGGTGCTTTGCTCCCTCTCCAGGACACTTCCAGGAACTAGGTCTTAGGACCTACTAATACTTCAGTTTTCCCTCTACTGTCCTCTTGCAAACCTGGGAACATCTCCCTGCCATCTCTATCCTAGCATTCCTTAAGGAAGGCAGGATTTCTTGGAAGTTAATTACCTATGAGCAGTTTATTTTTGTCTTATAAACGTACATCTTAGACATGAAACAGCATGGATACCTGGTTACTGCTTTAAAAATGCATAGATCAAAACCTCAACATTTTATTGTGCCTTAAGTAGTGTTATTTTTGTAAAACTTTATTGAAGTGTAATTTGCATATAAGAAAGTAAACACACGATTTGAAGGCCAAGGTGTGGTCTAGTGGTTAAGATGCTTGCGTGGTACCACATTGGAGTAGTTGGTTTAAAGTCTTACACTCACTCCCAAGCCACATTCCTGTTAGTGCATTCAGACCCCAGGAGGCAGCAGGTGGTGATTCAAGTGAATGAACTCCTGCCAGTCACATGGGAAGGTCGGGAATAAGTTTCATCTTCCTGGTTTTGACCTGACTTGCTCCTGACGTTTGTGAGCATTTGGGGAGTGAACTAGCAGATGGGAGAGTTCTCTCTCTGTCTCTCTCTCTGTCTCTCTCTCTGTCTCTTTCTCTCTGTCTCCTTCTCGCCATCTCTCCATCTGCTTCTCTCTTCCCCTTCTGTTAAAAAATGACAAGCTATACTTAAAAAAAACACAATTTGATCTGTTTGACATATATATCCGAGAAAATCACCACTGTCTTGAAAACAAGGACCACATTCACCTCTGCCCCAATTTTTTTTTCTTCTTTGTGATTCTGACCACTCTCCTACCCCTGAGAAAGCACTGATCTGCTTCCTACCACCCTACAATGACTTGGCTACACATTCAGAATTACAAAAGGTGAAAGCAGACAATATGTACTCTTTTGTCTAACATGTTTCAACTCAGCTGGATTATTTTTGAAATTTATCCATGTTAGAGCATTCATGGACAGTTCATTCCTTTTTATTGCTGAATAGAGGTGGGACTAAGAGAAGCAAGTGAAGTGTAGAAGATATAAAAATGTACTTAATTTTTTACTGCTACTACTATGCTAGGAGCACTTAAGATTTTCCCTGTTAATACATTTAAGGGTTATGTGCAGAGTTATTAACTATAGGCACAGTGCTGTTCAGCAGAGCTCTAAAAACTCTTTATCTTATAGAAGTGACACTTGGTACTCATTGAGCATCAGCTCCCTATTTCCTGCACCCTCCATCCCTGGAAACCTTTATTCTATTCTCTGGTTCTATGAATGTGGCTGTTACACTTCACCTAAATGGAATCACTCAATAGTTTATACATTTTGCTCTTTTTGATTATTTAGCACAGGAGGATAAATCTGGACCATGCTACTCTAACTTGGTAGGAATCAGAAGTCCATCCCCAGAGGTTATTGTTTTCAGAAGAGCTAGAACATTCTGCTGATGGGAACCAGCAATGTGCCTTTAACCCCTTTATAGGAGAGTGTGTAGGTTTCCTTCTCAGTTTTATGCACTCTTCTATCTAGAGGAAAAGGAAGAAACTACTGCTTAGAAATTGATTACGATAATCATGAGTAGGGAAGGGCCTGTGACTGGGTTGTCACCAAATACAAAGGTTCAATCAACATGTTACATGACACTGGATCACATTATTTATTGGGTTTGGCTGATGGTCATATTTTGGAAATCCCAATTGCTTTTGGAATCTGAATCACCAAGAAAAGTCTTGCAGAGTCAGGGTGATGAAATCGGGGTAATGGAAGACACAGCAAAATTTAAAATCTCTTATTAACTGTTCAGTGATCGGTGACATTCTTCTTTATCGGCTCTGCGAATATAAATCAAAGCACATCCTTTTCCATTTCTCTTGGTCCAGCCATATGCCGCTATCCTCTGGGCATGTCAGGAGGCCACATTCCAGATGAAGACATCACAGCTTCCAGTCAGTGGTCAGAATCCACAGCTGCCAAATACGGAAGGTGAGGATGGTTACCACAGAAGAGCCTGAGTTCTTGGGTGGGCAGATTTCCTGGATAGGAGAAAAGGGGTGGTACTGGCAGGAGCTGGTAGGAATGGGACAAGGACATCCATGGGCTTATCCTGCTGCGTGTGTTTTCAGGGACAGTTTGGTTGCCTGTGTTGGTCCTGCAATCCCATTGCAACCACAGAAACCCCAGAGCAACAATCCCCACAGGGAACGGGTTCACTGAATGGCAGTATAGTTGCTTTCCTTGGCATTCTCACTGTGAGTCGCTGCAGGAGGCAGGCCAGCATGGCAGACATGGGGCCGTACAGGTTATACAGGACACCAGGAATTAAGAAAGCTGCTCTCCTCAGCGGATGTCTGTGAATCATTACTCACTATACAAGGTGTCATGGGCTTCCCCAAAGTTCTCTCTCAAGGGTATCTCCCGTAGAAGAGCTTTCCTCATCCTTAAATAGAATGTGATGAGTTCCTTGCAGTGTAACTTCAGAGTTCCTCCAAATTCCAAAACTCCAAACTCAAAAACTGCTCTGCTAGTTGGGGCTTCATCCTCCTCCCAATTTAATTCTTTTCCTGGAGAGGGTTGATTTTGTCAAAAGCTTAATTATCTCTAAGGAAACCAGCCTGATAAACCTCCATAATATTTAGTTTAATGTATGAAACACTAGAGTGATGGGTGGTGCTGTAGGAATGCAGCAGCAATTGAGTGGGTAACATCTGCGGGAAGGGAGTGCTCCGGAGAAGAAGGAAAGTGGCAAGAAGTTGCCAAAACAAACCTTACACTGATTGCCTAATTATACTGAGTGTAGCTCAGCCTGGATGTAAAACCAGAGTTGTTACTACTCCCCTGACCGGTCCTTAGCCTTGTCCTCCTCTTTGGTTTCTATGGCTGTCTCTGGTTGTGCGTATCCTGATGGTTAGAATACCACTGCAGCGCAGAGCCCACATGCAAGATTCTAGGAACCATCCTTCTGCAACCCTGTGACTTAATGTCCAAGCGGGAATGACTGGAGTTATCAGGCTGATTCTCAAAGTGGGAGGAGGAAGGGATGGTGAAATGACTGTAGAGCGAGCCAGGCTAGAAGTGTTTCATTTCCCTTGAGGCTTTATACATCAGGATGGAACATAAAGGTTACCAGGGAAAGACTCCAGCTCCCTGCTGGCGACTCCCTTTGAATTCCATGGAACTTCACGAAAGGGAAACTAATCACAAATAGGTATTATGGGAGAGTCAGATTGGTGAGGAGAACCCCTAAGGAGCTCATCTACATTGAACACCCAGCCTACTCTCTCCCCTCAAAACAGTGCAGCTGCTTGCTGTGCATCAGTAAACAACTGCATAGCTTCATGTTCGCTCCTTTCCCACCTAACTCTCGTTTCTCAAGGCTGGACTCAGAAGAAGGGGATGGAGCCTGGTGCCCAGAGATCCCAGTGGAACCTGATGACCTGAAGGAGTTTTTGCAGATTGACCTGCACACCTTACACTTTATCACTCTTGTGGGGACCCAGGGCCGCCATGCTGGGGGGCATGGCATTGAGTTTGCCCCCATGTACAAGATCAACTACAGTCGGGATGGCACTCGCTGGATCTCATGGCGGAATCGACATGGGAAACAGGTAGGAAGAAGAAGCTTCCAGACTCTGGGATGTCCAACACCATTTTTGTCTTAGGCTAGAAGAGCACAAGTTGTCTATGTAGGTACGTGTGTCTGCAGACGCAGTGTGCCCTGGTTGATGTCTGGCCAGAGGTGAAGGAGGGCAGAAAGTGGGCCCAGAGAATAGCACAGCTGTGAGGAAGGCACAGTGGATCTGTTCTATTTCCTAAGAGAAAAAGGAAGCCTACTGATAGAATGGTGGAGGCGAAGGAGCATGAGCATGCTTTTATCTTATCACCTCACTTTCCTCTTCTCTCTCCTTAGGTACTAGACGGAAATAGTAACCCTTATGACATTTGCCTGAAGGACTTGGAGCCACCCATTGTGGCCAGATTTGTTCGCTTCATTCCAGTCACTGACCATTCCATGAATGTGTGCATGAGAGTGGAACTTTATGGCTGTGTTTGGCTAGGTAGGTCATGAGGACAGGGAGCTTATAGGTCTTATGACAAACCCCATTCCCTAGGAAATAGATAATCGAATCAGGAAGGGACGGGCTCATTTATCCCTGTAAGGGTGGGAAAACTTTGTTCTGCCAAGGATCATTTAGATATTTATAACATCATCAGAGGAATACACTACCAAGTTAAAAGACTAGCCTGCTACAGACTTGTTGAACTTCAAATCCAACCTGTGGCTGTGTTGGCAGGGTGAACCCAAATGAGCTCGTGACTGGACGTTCCCTACCCCCATGAGGTAAATCCCTCTTGGTTAGAAGCAGGAGCATGGCCTATCCACCCAGGGTTTGGTGCTCCACACCCAGAATGATGCAGTTTGTTGACTGCTATTGAGGAGTGATCTTCAGCAAGGAACCCTGTGTGCCCAGAATGAGAGCTAGTGGACATGCTGTGCAGCTTGCAACCTGGAAGCTCTTGTGGCTCCCAGGGGTAGTTGGTCTGCTTATCAAGCACAATGCCTTCTCCAGGGCACTGACAATTGTGTTTTTCTTGGCAGATGGCTTGGTGTCTTATAATGCTCCCGCTGGGCAGCAGTTCGTACTCCCTGGAGGATCCATCATTTATCTGAATGATTCTGTCTATGATGGAGCTGTTGGTTACAGGTACATTCTGGGGAATCTTGGTCACTGGAATGAGAAAATGGCCACTAAGAGCGAAGAACATGTTCTTATGCTTTAGGAGGAATGACCAATTAATCAACCAACAAACCAGTATTTATTAAGTCCCTATAGTATACATTGTGAAATAATACAGATAAAATAAAAATATATGGAATTTACTTCCAAAGGACTTAAATCCTAATTTAGGAAGGAAAAGCAACCATATAGAAAGCAACACTAAATCACACAAAGCAAGGACTCAATTTTGTGTTGCTGAGTGTCATATGCGTATTTTTTGATCTTGCAAGTGGAACATAATGACACAAACATTGTTATATAAATAAAGGGCAAGAAGAATTGGAGTAGGTCAAGGCATTCAGAAAGAATAGATTATATAAATATAAAAGTTAAAAACATGAAGAGAAGCAGATTAGTAAAGTTTATATTAGACACAAGAAGTTTCTAGGATGAGATAAGAAATTTGAATTCCTTCCATGGGGAAGGAAAACAGAAGGGTACCACGGAAACAGCACTAAAGACAAGAATGGAACAAGGAAAGGTTTTATATGCACCAATGGAGGACCATGATGGACGAGTCTGAGCAGGTGCAGTAGGAACTTAGAATAGAAATGGTTCTACTTATCTTGCTTTACCCCAAGCCCTGCCATTCTTCTTGTAAATCACTCCAGCACTTTGTCCTTAGCTCCATCTTTACCTACAAAGATTGAGCCTGGAGTGAGATCAGATTATAGTGAAATCCAGATCAGATAGGATTTTCTAGGAATTGAAAAATGAAGATATTAGTGAGTCTTTGGAATGAGAGTGTAAAATTATAGGACTTCTGTGGATGTGGATGAGAAAAATAGATCATTGTTCCAGCTGGCGTCCCTTGGGTGAAGTTCTTGATCTTCCAATCTCCTGTTCCTAGTCACTGCCTTTACTTTTGCTTAAAGGTTGTGTCCCATTTACCTAACCGTCTTATCAGCATCTCAGTCAACCACACCCAAGTATTACACAAGGCGTGGAGGAAAACAGCTCAACTTAATTCGCTTTAATATACTAAATCTTCGCAAATTAGTCATGACTCTGAGCAAATTTTGGCTCTGTGTTGTCACTACTCAACAATAACGAAGAAAAAAATAATTTAATTCCACCTAATAATTGAGGTAATGACTTCTCTGGTTGGTGTGTGACTGAGTGATGGAACCAAAGACACTTAGACCAGAGTCTTAGGAAATGTGGTAGAGCAGCAAAAGTTACTTTTTTTTTAATGAAAAAGTAACAAAAGATACATTCCTTGTAGTAATTCTAATAATTTAAAGGCATGTAAAGTCAATATAATTTAAAAAAAATGTTTTCTATTCTATAGGATTTTAATCCAGAAAATATTAATAGATCTTTTTTAAGTTAGTACTGCTTTTCATAGGATTTTTATGGGAGTTATTATTCTGGGGCCATTGGGAAATATATTTATTACAAGTATACTTATATTCTTCCAGTCTTTTGATTTGTAGAGAAAAGAAAGACAAAACCTTGAAAAGGAGATCCAAACGCTGCTCATCAAAGATAAGACCAGTCCAATTGAGTAATTTTTCAAACATGTTTAATGAGCAAATCTATCTCAAAATGTGTATATAAGACTGGCACAATTACTCCTAATTGTTTTCTCCAATTCACAAATTCCCTAGGCCATGAGTCTGATCATATCCCTCAGGAGTCAAATCCATTTCTACTGGAGAGTGGCTCTCCCAAATTATTCTTTCAGGAGAATTCTGATAGGGCTCCCAAAGCTTGAGGACAGAAAATTTTTGCATGACCTGCTTTTGCCGTGTCCTTCCACTAGAAAAAGAAAAGAGGCATCTTCATGTCCTTTAAAAAGTCAGAAAAATATGTAAACACACTTATATCCCAAGCTGCAGTCATGGGATGTAAACTCAGTCATTGAAAATAGAGTTTTGCACTCAGAAAAGTCTGCTGAGCCGAAGGATAAAATTGAATCCAGTGCTTGAGACTCCCATGAAATGAATGTGTCCTATTCTATGGGTCTAATATTTTACCTATTAAATGAAAATAAAATATAAATCAGAATTTTAAATTGGCTAAGTTTATTACTACTCTTTTTTGACATCAAATTGAGCTGTTGGAGATGTAGGGTAGAAGAAAACTTAACTGGTTTCTGTGAGATTGATTTACTGAATAAGGGCAACAGGTAACCAAAGGAGAGTCAGGGAAATTCCCACCATGCTCTGGGAACATTTATTTAGTGATGGGACAAGTGCTACTATTTACTGTAGTGCCCATCCTATACATACATTAGTCAATTAATTTGATAATATTGGGTCATCAGGATATTATATTCATTATACTCATGTATGACTAGGCAAGGACACAATGAATTATAGAAAGTTTTTCTTACAAATCAACAAGATAATGGAAGTTTCGCTACTAATGCATACCATTTTTGTAAGATTTATTAATACAAAATTCTTAGTTTTCTATTTATTTATCCATGCATAAGTGTATCGGTACTGTAGAACAAATTTGAGTTTTTATGACAGTTCCACTGTCAAGATAATTAGATCTTACAAAACTCAGGGTGAAGCACTTGGATGAAAGTTTTCCCATACACGTGATTAACTCCAGATTCGCCTCTCTCTTCCTTGTCCTGGTCTGGCCTGAGTAGCATGACTGAAGGGCTGGGCCAGCTGACAGATGGAGTATCTGGCTTGGATGATTTCACACAGACCCATGAATACCACGTGTGGCCTGGCTATGACTACGTGGGCTGGAGGAATGAAAGTGCCACCAATGGCTACATCGAGATCATGTTTGAATTTGATCGCATCAGGAATTTCACCACCATGAAGGTCAGTGGAGTGGGTGTGCTGGAACAACTTCAAGGAGGGCAAAATCTCAATGTGGTAGAGAAAAGGCCTGCTAGAGACAGGGGAGGTGAGGCCAGCAGAGCTTCATTCAAGTATCTGTTCCATTAAGTAGCTGTGTGCATTCCAAAATCACTTCCTTTTGAGTATTGAACTTACACATGCTCTTTTTTCCCCTCTTTTCTTCCAGCACCAGAGCTTTTGTGCCCACTCCAGTAGGCATGGTAGTTGTGCTGACTGGATTAGTTTATCACAGGTCAAAATTACACTTACAGATTTCAAACCATCCAAAAAAAAATGTATCGAAGCCGGATGATGTTTTTCTGACTTTTATCATAGCCTGTCTGACTTCATTGTTCAGTAAAACTGAAACAGTTACTTCATGTCAAAGAGGTTTTAGCACATGGTTTCATCATCAAAACATTTGGAGGATGATGGAAGGGAAAAGTCAAGTGCTTTGTTAAATTTCTGTGTGGCACATGTACACAGAACTTTGGTCTGGGAGCCCAGGGTTCTAGACCCAGCTCTTCTGTGACTCACCGCCAGCAATCCAAACCTTTCCAAGTATCAGTTACTCCCCAGTAACTGAGGAAGTTGGGCCAAATGGTTTTATAACGTCTAGTAGCTCAGATATTCTATTTTTAGAATATCTATGGTCTGTCTCTTTAGTCATGAAATTTCTGTCATCATTGCTGCTTCTTCCGGTGCTAAAAATAAATTTAGAACTTTTCGACTACCAGAAATCTGGGGAGGGTATGAATGGAAGTTGTAATGGAAGATTACAACTCAGGACTGGTACACAACCTTAAAATGGAAACAGGAAATCATTCCTAGAATGACAAGCATGATTTCCATCCTTTAAAGTTCTTAAACCTGAGGGATAGAGGCCAGCAGAAGTTCTTCTCCATATACGGTGGAGCCAAAGGAAATGATACTGAATTCCCATCGAGGGATTTGAGTTAGCTACAAATATGCAAACCCCGGTTTTTGAGGCTTGGTGAATGAACACAGCAAGGTGTTACAGAAAGGCTGGCGTGAAAGCTTTGTTCCTGTTGACTCTTTTTTTTTTAAGTTGATTTATTATTTGATAGAGTTATGGATAGAATTGGGAGGTTGGGGCAAGAGAGAAAAATATCTCCCATTTACTAGTTCAATCCCCAGATGGCCACAAATGTCTGGCCCAGACAAAGCCAGGAGCCAGAAGGTTTATCCAGTTCTCCTGCACAGGTGTCAGGAGTCCAAATTCCCAGGCCATCAACAGGCAGCTGAGTGAGTAGAGCAGCTGGGACATGAACCACTTTTTGCAGGTGGCAGCTTTACTCACTCTGCGACGAGGCAGGTTCCATGCTGGGAATATTTGAAAAACTATACAAATATCCTGGTGAAAAGATCATAGCAGTCGGCAAGAGGGTGCGTTCAAATTCCCAACAGACCTGTTTTCTTATCTCAGCAACCATCCGTGAGGAAAATTCATGTTTTCTGCAAAATCTAGACTGAAATCTGTTAAGAGACTGAAAAACGTTGACACGTGGCATGTGAAATGGGATCTCTAAGAGAATTGAAGCTGTTTTTCACTTTATACTTTTTTCCAGTTCCTTATAAAGGAGTGACCTGGCTTTGGAAAGCACATAGAGGAAGCAGGACGGCAGTCATCTTTGTACCTTGGTTCAGGGCCGCTCACATCTGGGGGGGATGGCAGTTGTGGCTGAGAGTGTGTACACTCAATTCAGAGCAAGGCAGGATCTGACAGCAAGGTGCTCCAGCCTTCCTTAACAGAGGAGGAAGCAAGCAACAGGAAGGGGTATGGCCAGGGCACACAGCCATGTGGAGGCGACCAGGGTTGCAGCTCAGGTTTTATAGGGACTAACCACAGGGAAGTTCCTGGAAGGGATAATCCAGAGCAAGCCTGATGCTCAGAAGCAGAAAGGTCTGGGATTTTACTGGGTTAGCTTTCACTGTGTCTCCATGAGACCCAGCAGTACCAATTTGTCTCTCACCTGCGCCTTTCTCTGCCAGGTCCACTGCAACAACATGTTTGTGAAAGGGGTGAAGATCTTTAAGGAAGTGCAGTGCTACTTCCGCTCTGAAGCCAATGAGTGGGAACCGAACGCTGTCTCCTTCCCTCTTGTCCTGGATGATGTCAACCCCAGCGCCCGGTTTGTCACAGTGCCTCTCCACCACCGAATGGCCAGTGCCATCAAGTGCCAGTACCATTTTGCTGACACCTGGATGATGTTCAGTGAGATCACCTTCCAATCGGGTAGGATGCTTTGGGTCCCACAGGGTAATGAAGGAGGGAGGCGCATGTCAGGTGTTCCCTGGCAGGTGTCTGCAAGGAACAGGGTTGATCAGGTGGCTCCCTGTTGATGGACAGAGTACTCCTTCATCTGGCTGCTTTCAGCTGCGGAGGAACAGGGGTGAGGATGAAGTGAACAGTATATCTCATTGGCTCTTTCCTCATATGAGGGACATTTTCTGGAAAAAAGATGAATGGTAAAAAACTAGAGAAAAAATAATAAGAAAATGCATTGAAAACTATATAAATTAAGGAGATTAAGGGAATCTGCTCCTAAAAATTCTTAAGGCATTTCAATTAAAATCCCTAAATCCATACAAAAATAAACTGAATAATTAACCTCACTCAACATTCATTAACCAAAAATTTTACTGCATTCATTTCAATTATTCCTCCTTTTTTTTTTTTTGCTACAAGACTTTGAAACAGATCTGAAGCATCGTTTGATTTCCTTTACAGAAATTTTTAAAATACATCTAAGAAAAAAATCATCTTCATAATCGTACTACCACTATAAATTATCATAATATTTATTAATAAGCCAATATTTCCTATTATACTCTCTATATTTAAGTATTCCTATTTCTGATCATGTCTTTCCATTGATATCTTCATTGAATGTGGATCCAAATAAAATCCTTTGATGAATTTCCCTTATATCTCTGCTAATTTTAAAACTTCTCTATTCAATCACCTTTTGAGAAGAAATCATTCTAGTTTGCTTATGGCTTTCTGTGGTGTCATTTCACTCTAGTGTTGGCTACTGTAAACTAGAGATTATATTCATAGACTAATTTGATTCCAGTTGAATATTTATTTGCCTAAGGATTCTTAGTGCTCTCTGTCATGTATTGAATCTTATCATAGGGATGTGACATTGGCTTCTCTCACTTCCAGTGAAATGAAGAAGACTTTCTGGTTTCAAGAGTTTATCTTTTCATGAGAAAGTTCCATGAACATCTTTTATCCCAGATATTCACGTCCATTGGTGATCCCTTCTGAATTATTTCACTGGGGGGTCTCACATGGTGATTTTCTCATCCTTACATTCTCTGCATTTATTAGCCAAGTTTCTTCTGAATTTCCTCAAGCAATTGTTTACCCTGAAATACAGTTCACACTGAAAGAGCGAGAATATGTGATTAACTTATACCTTTAATGTCAGTTTTCAGATTATTAAAATGATGTTCGAGTTACCTTTAATAGTACCTATTGAGTTTCTTCTTTTTACGTATATTTTTAAAAATATTAATGTATAGAGAAAAAAATTTCATAAGTACTATTCCAAAAAGAAATCCACACTTCTCTCATCATCTCATTTATATATATATACATATGTATATGTGTATATACATATATATTTTTATATAAACCAGGTACTATGCCCAATCTTGAGAAACAAAATATTGGTTTATGAGTTTATGTCTTTAAATGTAAGAAGGATGAGTATCATTCCACTAAATGGATCGCACAATATACTAGCTTGCCATTCTCTTTCAGGAAGTTCCTACCTGGCATCTTCCAACCAGCTCTGATCTTCTCTTCTTTCCTAACAGATGCTGCAATGTACAACAATTCTGGGGCCCTATCGCCTTCTCCTATGGCACCTACAACCTATGGTATGTGACTCCTTAGCTAGAAATATTAAGTTGAAGGAGCCTCCTAGAGAATGGGGCTCCTGGCTCTCTGGGCAGGAGACAGATGTCAGGTGGCTTCAGAGCAAGAAGAGCCCTGGGAAGAGGGATGCCCTACCTCCAGTGTAGATAGCTCGGGCCTATGTATTTATTTCACTGCTTATCCCTGTATAAATATAAAATATATATAAAATATATATAAAATATGTAAAATATATATATTTTTAGTCTTTGGTGGAGAGATGAAATGATTTCAATTGTTCTATCAAAGTTTGGAAATCTTAGGGCAGAAACAGAGACAGTTCTAAATGAAGCTCCTACTGGGAGTCTTTAATGCCTGGGAGAAATCCAATGGGGGGAAAAAAACTGCTGGCTTATCTTACTGAAAATAAACAAGCAACAGAGTCACTGACCAACCAATTGGCAATGTGGGAAACGTGACTGGGTGTGTCAAAAGAGGATTCTCAGCCACCTTGACAGGCCTCTAGCAAGTCAGAGTGAAACTGGAGCCTCACCTTGTTTTTGTGGGTGTGATTTCAGGCCTATAAGAACCTGTAAACCCAGAGGCAGTATTTTGAGAAAAATCCAGAGCCTCCATTATCATGTCTGAGGCTTGGTATGGGTGGGGGGGACTACTGTCTCATGGAGAAAGACATAGGAGCAGAGTAGCAAAACAGTATAACCACCAAGAATAAGCAGAAGCATGATTGTGGCATCTTTGGAAACAATCTTTGGAGGAACAGCATCTACTTTCACACTCACCCCCCCCCCCAGGCCAATTGCTCATGCTTCAAGTTGTTTATATCCTCTACTTTCTCCCTCTGGTCACAGATCCAATGCTGAAAGTGGATGACAGTAACACTCGAATTCTGATTGGCTGCTTGGTGGCTATCATCTTCATCCTGCTGGCCATCATTGTCATCATCCTCTGGAGGCAGTTCTGGCAGAAAATGCTGGAGAAGGTGAGGAGAGCCTGGCAGGGGAAGCTGTGTCCCCGCTCTCCTCAATTGCTTTTGCCCCAGGAGTACAAGGAAAATAATGAGAATCTCTAAATGGTTAGAGAGTTCATTGAGGCTACTGTGAAACTAAAGAAGGGAGAAATGTGTTGGGGAAAGGAGTCACAAATTAACACAAATGTCTGTTTTCTCATGTTGAGAATGACAATTTCAAAATCTTCCTAGAACATCCAGAAAGCTCTTACTAAATCATGTTTCTCAGCATAGGCATTTCCCACGAATGTGGTGATTCACTGGCTTTGGGGTAGAGTTCAGGCATCTATGTGGTTTTAGTATTTTAATTTACCAGCTGATTCTGATGAGTAGCAAAAATGTGTACAATAGAGCGGCATATTTTATGTGTTTATATCAAAAAAGGCACATACATGCTATCCTTTTCCTGCTGATGGAGCAGGCAGGCAATTTAGTATTTTGAATAACTCGCCTTGGTATCCTCAATAAATAGGGTATTCCTGTTCCATTTTGGAGCCTTTTTTTTTTCAAGATTTATTTAATTTTATTGAATGGCAGATTTACAGAAAGAAGGAGAAATGGAAGGAAGGACTCTCCATCTGCTGGTGCACTCACCAAATGGCCAAATGGCCACAATGGCTGGAGCTAAGCCAATCCAAAGACAGGAGTCAGAAGCTTCTCCTTGGTCTTCTATGCGAGCACAGGGTCCCAAGGCTTTGGGTTGTCCTTTGCTGATTTCCAGGTCACAAGCAGGGAACTGGAAAGGAAGTGGAGCAGCAGCGACATGAACTGGCATGCATGTCAGATGCTGGTGCTTATAGGTGGAGCCCCATAGCCCCCTCTGCCCCCTTTTTAAAGTGAAAATACAAGGTTATGGAAGTATTATCCCAACATTCTGTGGCAGAATAATGAGATGAACAATTGATGTCTTTATGTTTCAGTGCATTCACTGGGTCGATGAACATTTTAGTTTAGGTCCACACAAAATCAAAGCAGCTAATGAATAGACAGTAAAACCTGTGATTTAACAGAACATGAGAATTCTATAGATTGACAAGATGTTTGACTACTGGTAGGTTCTTGGGATGTTATGTAGATCATTCTCATACATATTTCAATGATAGTTTGTGATGACTGTACAGAAATTGGGAGCTCGGGTTCTGTCTTGAAGAAATGAAGGATGATATTAGTTTCTGCAACACAAGCATTTATGAAGCCAGGCAGCAATGCTGTCACTTTCTCTGATTCTGGGATTCGTAGTAGACAAAGATTATTTCATCCGAGTGGAGGAGCTGGGTATAGGAAGGAGAGGATCTGATTCCGTCTTGTGCCAACGTGCCCTTCTCTTCCAGGCTTCCCGGAGGATGTTGGACGATGAGATGACAGTCAGTCTGTCCCTTCCCAGCGAGTCCAGCATGTTTAACAACAACCGCTCCTCATCACCAAGTGAACAAGAGTCCAACTCAACCTATGACCGCATCTTCCCACTGCGCCCTGACTACCAGGAGCCATCCAGGCTGATACGAAAACTTCCAGAATTTGCTCCAGGGGAGGAGGAGTCAGGTGAGAACGAACTAATGGACAGGAGATGGAAGGAGATGCTTTGGCAAATGTTACGTATATATGATATTCTTGTTCCCAGGCTACTCAGTCTGTTTGTCTATACTAACCTCCTGAGAAGACCACATTCTCATGCAGACTTGGGATGCTTCTTTTTAGCAGCCTAATATGAGTACCCTCCTTTCCTATTCAATATACTATTTTTAGAAGGACTACGGATAGAATAGGGAAAAAAAAGTAAAAGGTGTTAGTAAATTGTTAATACCAGAAGAATCTGAATAATTCAAGTGGTCTAGCCTTTTCCTTGACATACAAAGACAGAAATCTCAAAAAAAGGAACTCACACAGTCAAACTTCATTAGCAGTAAATTCAGACCAGAATTTTACTTGGAGGAAAAAAATGACAAACAAAGCTAATTTCCTGAAATTCCAAGTACTGTAGCTATCTAGGACATTTATTGAAATAACATAATTGTGCTATGAGAGTATAGTGTCCCCAGATTTTCTCAACAAAGGCAATGATGTAAGATGATAAAACAGGTCAAACAGAGCCAGTTGGTTCGGCAGAATGCGATCAGAAGCGAGGCTGGGTCATATCTATGCTCCGAACAACTTTCCCATCAGGTCCTCAACCTGAGAGTGATCCAAGCCAGTGGTGGGTAGCAGAGAGGAACTCAGCCAGAGCTGGATATGGAAGAAGACTGGACTAACTATACCAGTGTAGTCTTTTTCCAAAATGGCTCTAAATAAGTCTTTTCAAAGAAAGAAATTAACATCTATTTTATCACTCAATAGAGAAAAAATATTCAAATAGCTCATTGAACTCATCTCACAGAGGAGGCAAGACCAAATGACATAAACTTATTCATGATCTAGTCTTAATCATAGCAATTTACCTGCCTTTTGAAGATGTCCTCCTGCACTGGGCAGGGAATTGTGGTGCAACAGGTTAAAATGCAACTGGAGTGCAGGTTTGAGTCCTCACTACTCTGCTTCTGATCCAACTCCCTCCCTGTTCATATGCACCCTGGAAGGCAGCAGATGATAACTCAAGCATTTGAATCTCTTGCCACCCAAGTGGGAGACCTGGATACAATTCATGGATCCTGGCTTCAGCCTGGCCCAGCTGTCATCTATGTTTGGAGAGCAAATCAGATGAAAGGTTTCTCTCTCTTCCCGTTCCTTTCTTGTTCTCTCTGTCACTCTGCCAAATGAATAAGTAAACAATAAGTCTTAAGAATTTCTTTACCTCCGATTTTAACATCGTTTAAAATTAGAATGTCTCAAGTTAGATCATATAAATTGAATCTGAAAGATTTCTTAATAGATGAAATGGATTGGTAAGCTAATGATGGTGTTTTACAATTAAGGGGTTGTGATATTATTGTGGGGAATTGGACTCAAGGGATAGAAGCAACGTTGGTTCTTGCTTTACATGATAGAAGAAATCATGTGCAGACAATTTCATTGAGTAAAAGCAGGATTTATTTAGCCAGAAGAACCTCCCACTACACAGGTTAGGAGGGGACACTTTCAAGAGAAAATATCCAGGAAAAAGATGGAACTGGCCTTTTTAAAGCACAATTCAGGCAAGTGCCTTGTCCAGTTTGCTCAAAGCAGAACCATCATATACGTGTGCCTAGGAGCTTACTTCTATTCTAAGGACAGGCTTTCTCAGGCTAAAATTGGTAAGTCAATGGATTGGAAGTGGACATTTTGATTTGGTCAAAGGCAGCATTTGGTGCTTTGCCTTCTCTTAAAGAGATCTTCCTGTTTGCTTGCTCCTTTGGGATAAAACTGGAAATTCAGCGAAGTGGGATTCACATTCCCAAAACAGCCTATCAACAGCTATCATTCTCATGGTAAAACTAGAAACTCAAGAGTGAGCTCCCAGTTTGCTCTCGCTAAATGCAGTTCCCGGAGAGAAACAAGTGTCTTGTATATTTTTAAGGAAACTCTTTCTTTGTGATTCCACCAAAGACCTGGTCCCATCTGCCTATTAGTCTTTCTAACCCCTTATGGCATTAAACCTTCAACTTTTAATATCCCCACTCTAATATAGTATGTGGCTTCCTATAGCCATACTACACAATTCTACAAGATAAACCAAGGAGGTGATTAATGATGATGTGAAAAGAGAGAAAAAATGATGGCCTGCATTCCAGGCAGCAAGAGCATCACTAGAGGAAGTAAAGGCATTCCCCAAGAGAGATCTATGCGGTAGGTTAGCCGGTCACAACGGTCTGTTCTAGCTCTGACTCCCGATCTTCATCCGTACAGAGAGACTCAAAGATCCCCCTTAGGATGAGACTTCCTTCATTGTCTTCCCAGGCTGCAGCAGTGTCGTGAAGCCCGTGCAGCCCAGTGGGCCCGAGGGAGTGCCTCACTATGCCGAGGCTGACATTGTCAACCTCCAAGGAGTGACCGGAGGCAACACCTACTCTGTGCCGGCCGTCACCATGGACCTGCTCTCGGGAAAAGACGTGGCTGTCGAAGAGTTCCCCAGGAAACTCCTCACTTTCAAGGAGAAGCTAGGAGAAGGACAATTTGGGGAGGTAAGTGAAACCTCTGAAAGGGCTTCCAGTCCTTGGTAGCTCCAGGAAAGTGGTTGGATGAAAGTTGTCAGTAGAACAGTGTCCGTTCCAGAAATAGATCCACAAGTGAACAGCTCCTCCACTTGTCTTTCCGTGCGCTGTCCTCTGGTTGACCAGTGTGTGTGTGTGGGGTGGGGGGGGGGGGGAATCTCATCTTTGTCAAATAGCTGTGGAGTGATGGGGATGTCTCCATGGAATATTTGACTTCAGTTGTCTCAAAACACAGTCAATATTTTCACAAAAATTCTAAAATTGAGTACAGAGGGTGGGACCCACAAGATGTGATAATCTTTTACGAATAGTCCAGGAACACCCTGCTGCTTGAAAACCACTTTGTTTTTTCCCTTTTGATGGGAATTACACATAAAATGATCAAACACAACCTCCCCCTTGCCTTTGGTCCCGGCATCAACCACGGGGGACTGAATCGTCAAGACAAGGAGGAGCACCCTTCTGAGTTGTCCTCAGGGTGATGGCAAACAAACAATTTTTTTTTCCTCTTGTGAACCACATGAAAGGCCAAAGAACTCAAGTGATGTTTTATACTTTTGGTAGGGGTTTTTCAGTTCTGCCTTCCACACTCAGCAAATAATGCTTGGTTTCAGGCTGCAAGCCAATGCCTTTGGTAGGTCTGGTGTTGGATGAAATAGAGCAGTCTGCAGCATGTACTTGTAGTGTTCTATGTCATCATTTGGTTTCTTGAGTTGAAAACTCATGTTCCTATGCTGCACAGATACACAGGCACTACTTACAGTTCTAAACTTCATATCGATGGTTTTCTGTTTTGTGTGAACCAGCAACCATATTTTCTTTCGTCAAAGTCTAAGTATTTATGCATAGTGAAATTTTATAGTGAACTATGCTGGGATGAAATATTGTTACGTATTCATTCACTTATTCACTATCCTACAAAATGTGTATTTCTTTCCTACAGTAGCAGCGTATCATACTAGCTGGGTACATCATTATTTTTTTAATTTTAATTATTGAGGCCAAAAGATATGTTACACGTATATTCTCTTGATTTTTTTTGCCCGAGTTGTAAGAGTACTGAGACCTCTTCAGGAGAAATGATGATGACGAGATTAGATGCCTTTTGTCTAGGTTCATCTCTGTGAAGTGGAGGGAATGGAACAATTCAAAGACAAAGATTTTGCCCTGGATGTCAGCGCTAACCAGCCTGTCCTGGTGGCTGTGAAAATGCTCCGAGCAGATGCCAACAAGAATGCCAGGTCTGTGGTATGCATTTTGAATTTTTCCTTTATGCATTTTGTCTTCAGGAACAGGCATACTCCTAGAAGATTTTGAGCATTTTTTTTCTTTGGAGACGAGGAGGTCTGCCTCCTGTTCCCAATGTTAGTCTTTTCTTCACATTTCTCCTGGAGTCAGCCGTCCTCATCCTATTCGCCATCTCTCAGACATGCATGTGTATTTCCTGTCGCTTTGCCACACATTTCCTTCCTAGCCCTCGACACCTTCTGGGTCCTCAGCATTGTACTTTCAACTTCATACAGCAATCTGTTTGTGGTCCTCCTCCATCTTCACATGTAGACACAATCTACGATGTCATTACCTCTCCTCCCAGCAAACTTTCCACTATCATACACATATCTCCTGCTAAGCCTCCTCCATTCTCCCCCCTTTTACATCTCTATTTACTGTCTCATCTTTTTTTTTTCTCTTTTATGCTCCTTTTCTTTTATGTCCAGCAACCCCCCAAATGAGAAGCTACCTCTACTTGGAAAAGTTCCCATGGACCTCAAAGCAACCAGTCCTTTAGCAGTTTCCAAACTGGGTAATAAACTCTTCAACCCTTTGCTACATAAATCGCAGGTTCCAGCCATATTCTGTTGTCTGCCAGCCTCCCCATTACAGTAATGGTGAGTGCATCCTCACCCAGAGAGGCATGCTGGTTGAAAGCTGATTGTATGTGTCTCCATTAAGTCTTCACATCTGGATGGCATATGTATTTTCCCATTGTGTTCTCCCGGTGTGTCTTACTAATATTTGTAGCAAGAGAATCTTTGTAACTGATTCTCCAAATTAGCATGCATGTCAAGAATGTTGTAGGCTACATTAAGGTCTTGACAACGGGCAGGATATAAAATGAAGAAAAAAGAAAGGAATGGAAATGGAACTGGAAGTTTTAGAATTTTAACGAAGAGTTTCAAACTTAAGGACATTAATATGAATGAAAAATGACATTCTTGGGTATCATAGAGACATGGAGTTTCCCTCATAATATTCATTTTTAGACAAGATTTATGTGTTTTATTTGAAAGGTAGATTTATAGAGAGAAGGAGAAGCAGAGAAGGAAGGATATTCCATCCACAGGCTCACTCCCCAAATGGCTGTAAAGACCAGAGCTGAACTGATCTGAAGCCAGGAGCCAGGAGCTTCTTCAAAGTTTCTCATGTAGGGTCTGGGTTCCAAAGACTTGAACCATTCTCTGCTGCTTTTCAGGCCACAAACAGGGAGCTGGATGGGAAGTGGAGCAGCTGGGACGCAAACTGGCACCCATGTGGAATGCTCATGGTGCTGCCCCCTGCCCCTCATATTATTCTTAGCACAGTATTGGAGAGGCAAAACACAAAATCAGACAAAGCCTTTAGCCTTTATTTTTTTCTGGTGAGGTTTATCATGTTTCCACCATTCCCATTCATGGTTAGTAATTGTGAAAGACAGACACAGGCCCTCCCAAGCCACAGAAATTGCTGACTTGGGACTGAAGAGAGAATGAAAGCAAGGAGCAGTTAGTTGCATTAGGACAATTCATCTTTAAGAGTTTTGTAATGATGTAGTATACTTCCAGCCCAGAATTCCTAGAAAACCCATGGGAGACTGATTATTGATCTGTTTCAATAGCTTTGGGAATGTGGTCTGGTGGCTAGCTAACCCAGATGTTCTTACTCTGTGACTCAACGGTGGCTGTTACCATGCACTGGAAGAAATTAGTTGTGGCCAAGTGTGCGCTTCTTTTCAAATGGCTCCACTTTACTGCTGAAGGCTTTAAGCAGTGCTGCAGTTTTTAAAATTAGTTCTTTACAGATCCAATGTCATTTGTAGGTATAATTCTAAAGCCATAATTGTTTCCCCTCCTCACTGCTTCCTCTTTCCCTCCCTTCCATCCTCTTTCCTTCTTCCTTTGTTTCTCCCTTTTTTCCCACAATTTTTGAGATATTCTGTTTTAAATTTACATTACTGTAAAAAAAAAAGACTTGGCATTTCACCAAATAAATTTAATAAGTAAAAAAAATAAATAAAAGGACCTCAGTTTAGTGATAATAACTAGAAGCAACAATTGAATGGAAAAAAATGCCCATTTTGTTCAGAGACAACAATCAAAGATCATTGAAACTATAGTACTATAATATTCTTAACTACTGGTTTGGCAGAGGTGTGCAATAAAGTTTTACAAAACTATATTTGCAGCAATAGTGATGAACGCAGGCATTTATTTTTCCTTTTGTATTTTTTTTTTAAATTTTTAGCTCCTACATATAAGGGAGACCTTGTGATGTTTGCCTTTCTGGGTCTGGTTCATTTCACTCAGTGTGATGTCTCTAGTTGAATCCATTTTGCTGCAAAATGTTCCTTTTTGTAGCTGAATAATAATCCATTGAGTATATATGCCACATTTTCTTTATGCATTTATCTCATGCTGGACACCTTGGTTGATCTGATTTTTGGCTATTGTGCACTGTGCTGTGATAAACGTTGTGATGCACATATCTCTTTGATGATTCATTGTGTCCAGGTCTTTTTGGTATAATCCCAATACATGCATGCTGTGAATGACTGCAGGTGCATAGCGTCTCAGGAAAGCCAGTGTGGTACAGTGAGGAATTCTTGGTTAAGCAACAAGTTGGTTATTCACTTTTTAAAAATTTCTTCATTTTATTAGCTCTATGTTTTTTTTTTTTAAGATAAACACCCTTAATGTGTTCAGCCAGGATTTTCAGCGAAAAGTATAATCTTGCAGAGTAGTTTTTATCCGCATATTCTTGACTTGGCAACTATCAGTCATTTCTTATGTGGTAGGCATTTTCTAATATACTAGGGGATGAACCTTAGTTGCAAGAACATTATTGTACAATAATCACATTCTATGAGGAGCAGAGGCAAATCCAGGTGCCAATTTCTCTGTCTTCTAGAAGGTTCCTCAGAGAGGAAAGTGACTTGGAGTGATGGGGTGGGAAGAGGCACGGCCGTGCAATTTTCCTCACGTCTTGATTCCATCAACCTGTGGGTTTGTCTTGGTCTGTGTCCTCCAAAGGAATGATTTTCTCAAGGAGATAAAGATCATGTCCCGGCTGAAGGATCCCAACATCATTCGTCTCCTGGCTGTGTGTATCACTGAGGACCCTCTCTGCATGATCACCGAGTATATGGAGAATGGCGATCTCAATCAGTTCCTTTCCCGGCATGAGCCCCCCAGCTCTTCCTGCAGCAACGTACCCACTGTCAGGTAAATGAGACAGCTCTGCTGTCTCTCCCTGGGGTCAGGACAAGCAGTTGGGAGTCTGAAAAGCAGAAGCAGTCAATCTTTAAGTTCATCATTGCTTTGGGAGAGTGAAAGGAGGTCACTGGGTAGGGAATGTGTTAAAAATAGAAACCCTGATTTGTCAATATCGGCTATAGGATATGGGCCTTTCAAGGTAACTTTCTCTCTCGTTGAACTTCCTCAGTTACAACAATCTGAAGTTCATGGCTACCCAGATTGCCTCTGGCATGAAGTACCTTTCCTCTCTTAACTTCGTCCACCGAGACCTGGCCACGAGAAACTGCTTAGTGGGGAAGAACTACACTATCAAGATAGCTGATTTTGGCATGAGCAGAAACCTGTACAGTGGGGACTACTACCGGATCCAGGGCCGAGCAGTGCTCCCCATCCGCTGGATGTCCTGGGAGAGCATCTTGCTGGTGAGTTCCTTGCCCAGCAGCGGGTACATGGCCAGGAGGAATAAACCAGAGACGGCTGGAGGAAAACTCAGTAGACTTTAGCTTTTTTCTCAGAACCATAGTTTGCTTTGTGCATTATTATTATTGTTGTTGTTGTTGTTGTTATTGTTACTATTAAAGATTTGCCTATTTCTAGTGAAAAGCAACACCTGTATTATAGAAAATTCAGAGGAAAAAGCTAAAAGTTGTAGTGGGAGATTTAGTATATTTTTTCTCACTTCTGACCTAATAATTAACTACTTTAATATAGTTTTGAGTGTTGAAATCTTTAGGGAAATTTTATCCAGGCAATATGTTGAACAATATATGGTTTTCACTTGTTAGACAGATTTCTATATTTTTATTTTTAGAATTTTAGAATTATATAGAGATGTGTTTATTTATTTGGAAGACAAAGTTTCTTGTGAGAGAGAGATAAAGAGATCTTCCATCTGCTGGTCATTCCCTATATGACCACAGAGGCTGGATCTGGGCTGGACTGAAGCTGGGAACCAGTAGTTTCTTCCAAGATCTTTCATGTGCGTGCAGGGCCTAAGCACTTGGTCCATCTTTTGCTGCTTTCCCAGATCTGTTAGCAGGGGGTTGGATTGGAAATGGAGCAGCTGGGACTCAAACTGGTGCCCTTATGGAATGCTGGCACTGCAGGTGGCGACTTTTATTTGCTACACCACAGTAACCATCCCTGAAACTCTTTAAAAAGATGTATGTATTTGTTTAAAAGGTAGAGTTACAGGGGTCATCGCCATGGCATAGTAAGCTAGGTCTCTGCATCATTGGTATCCCATATGAATATTAGCTCATGTCCCGGCTGCTCCACTTCCAATCCAATTCCCTGCTATGGCCTAGGAAAGCAACAGAGGATCTTTCAGGTACTTGGGGACTTATACCCATGTGAGAGACCTGGAAGAGGCTCTTGGTTCTTGGCTTCAGACCATCTCAACTCTGGCCATCATGGCCATTTGGGGAGTGAACTGGCTGATGGGAAAAATCTCTCTGTGTTTCTCCTTTTCTCTGTATGACTTTTCCTTTGAAATAATAATAATAATAATAATAATAATAATACAAGATCTTTAAAAAAGAAAGGGAGAGATTAGAGAGAGAATCTTCCATCCACTTCACTCTTCCAGAGGTCACAATGGCTAGGGAAGGGCTGAGCTGAAACAAAGAATTTGGAACTTCTTCTGGGTTTCCCACATGGACAGTGCTTTTTTTCTTCTGCTTTTTTAAAGTAAGGGGTTATACTGGAAATGGAGGGTCCAGGACTCAAACTGGCACTCATGCACGATACTAGCGTTGTGAGTGGTGGCTTAACCAGCTGCACCACAACATTGGTACCTATATTTTTGCTTTTTAAAAAAATGATTTATATGCTAAGTTTATCATTCTTTGCTTTATCAATTTAATTCAATTTGTAGTATTCTGCATCATAATTAATAAGCAATTTTTCCCAAAAGCCTTTGCTGTAATGGTATGTTTTCTCACTATGCATTTGGAGACATTTTATTGTTGATTTTGCAATGACTTAACAGATTTGGGGCTGGTGCTGTGTGTTAAGATCTCTGCTGGAATCACTGATGTGATCTATGGGTGCTGACTTAAATCCTGGCTGCTCCGCAATTAACCTGATGTACAACATTGTTAGACTTTTATCCTCTACAAAGATACATACTTATTTAACATTGTCTTTTGTCTTCTGTAATATTCTAGAAAAAGTCCAACACCAATCTGGTTTTGTTCAGTTTTAGTTTAGTTTATGTCTTGCCCATATTCTTTTAAGATTCTCGAATTAATTTTGCAACGAGAACATGTTAAGGTATCTTCTTCCACTCGCCAAAATGACTACTAATTAATGTTTGGTATCATTCCTTTGAGGAATTTTCAGTGCATGTGATTTTGACGTGAACATATATGTATATATATGCTTTCAGTTACATAACTGGGATGGTCCTATGCCTGTGATCCTCTATTCTTGTTTCTTATTGAACATTTTATCATTAATATTTCCAATACCATTACATATTTTTTCCTTTAAAGATTTTGTTTATTGTTATTGCAAAAGCAGATATACAGAGAGAAGGAAAGAGAGAGAGGAAGATATTCCATCTGAAGATTCACTCTCCAAACAGCTGCAACGGCTGGAGCTGAGCCAATCCGAAGCCAGGAGCCAGGAGCTTCTTGAGTCTCCCACACGGGTGCAGGGTCCCAAGGCTTTGGACTGTCCTTGACTGCCTTCCCAGCTTACAAGCAGGGAGCTGGATGGGCAGTGGGGCCACTGGGATTAAAACCAGTGCCCATAGGGGATCCCAGCATGTTCAAGGCTAGGTCTTTAGCCACTAGGCTATCGTGCCGGGTCCTTCAATACCATTAATTATTTTTAAAGGCATGATTTTAGAAGCTCTATGATTTTCCATTGTATAAGTATAGTCTATAATTTAGTACTATCTCTATCATTTGATACTTAAGTTGCCTCCATTTTCCACTATTCTGTATGATGTGGTGCCATATGCCAATTTACAACAGTCTTCATAAATACTGTTGTAATCAATATATTCAACTCATCATGTTTTACTCTTTTCTAATATAACCATTAAGCATTTTTCTATCTGGTGTTGAAAACAATATATTAGCTAATGCAGATATATTGGTTTGAATCCCAATTTTTCCATAACAAATGACCTATTAATCTGGAGAATTTAGTCAAGTCCTGAAATAAAAAATAAGGACACATGACCTGTTACAGCGTTCTCATCTTTACTAAGCAGAAAACATGTAAGCATGAATCTAGCTTCCTGCTAATAGATGCTCTGAGAGGAAACAGGTGATGGCCCAAGTCATTGAGTCCCTGTCGTACCTACGGGAGACCTGGATTCAGTTCCCGTCTGCTGGATACGGCCTGCCCTGTTGGAGGCATTTGTGTAGTGAATGAGCAGACAGGAGGACTTCGTGTGTGTGTGTGTGTGTGTGTCTCTCTTCTGTAATAAAACAATAATGGATGCTACTTTCCTCTGAGTTTCATTGCTGTCACCTGTAAAAGACTAGTTTTAAGACTATCACTGAACTGACCAGTGTTAGATTGATAACAAGACTATTCAAGGCACTTAGATTTTTCTAACGTAAAAGTGGTTAACTTTCCATTCTAATGTTTTCTTTTCTGGGGATGTTTTCCTAGGGCTGGTTATCCTGGGGCCTAAAGGTTGACCTTCTAACTTAGAGCTAATGGTACAGTTCTTCCAACTTGTGACTCAGTTATAAGAGAAGCAATGTAAGAGGAGATTTAAAAAAATGTGAATCATGAAATTAAAAATTAAGTTCAGTCTGCTGAAAAAAAATCTTAAAGTACATGTTTATCAGAAATCCTCAGAAAGTTCATAAATTTATGTATGATGACAAAATTGTACCAGGATTTTGATGTTTTTGCACGAAAAGAACCTTTGATTTGAATTCCATTTTCTCCAAACTTTTGGAGTTCCCTCCTAAACTCATGAAGTTACCCATATAACTTGACTCATTCATTAATGAGAGGTCTATTTCTTGATAACTTTGTATTATCTCTGGTTCCTTCATACTTATCTTGGTTGTTTAAACAGCCCTTGCCCTTGGAAAGAAGATTACAAAAAAATGTAGTCTTGTTGTATGTACGTTATTCTGATTTTCACTTCTTTTTCTTTATTTAAATAGGGCAAATTCACTACAGCAAGTGATGTGTGGGCCTTTGGGGTGACTCTGTGGGAAACTTTCACCTTTTGCCAGGAACAACCCTACTCCCAGCTGTCAGATGAACAGGTTATTGAGAATACTGGAGAGTTCTTTCGAGACCAAGGGAGGCAGGTAAGACCTCTTAGGGGTGGCTGGATGGATGTAGTCAGGGTTTTCTTGGTGTGAGAAAGTCAAGTCCTGAGTTGGGAGAGAGGCCAGCTGGGTGACTGTTGTTTGTCGTTAACAATCCAGATGATGTGCAAGGCCCGGATCCTCCCTTCTCTCTGCTTTACCTAAGTGTCAACTAACAGATGACTGCAGAGCATGCTGGGGTCATGTCAGCTTCTCGTCCGCTCAAAGGGAATGGAAAAGGAAATCCTGTCTCTTTTCTTTGATTTACTTCTTGATCTAGAATGTGTGGCTGGTCTTCCTGATTGAAAGCTGCAAAAGAGAAAAACGACTTACTAACTCTGCCAATAACACATACCAGCCTAAGAAATGGTGTTATTTAGGCAGGTCAGCAGCATTTGTAGACTTAAGGGTTCAGGAATGATCAGGCCTATCGCAGACTTGCTGCTCTTTCTGGTAGTTAATGGTGTCTCTCAGGACCTGGGGAATACGGTCTCCTAAAATTCACAAGGTGTCCTAACTCCTAGCCAACTTTCTTCAAGTGGTCCAGTTTATAATGTCCCTGGTGATGGTGTTCCTGGTGGCATCGAAAGCTTGCTGGTAACTAGAGCACTGCACTAGCCCAAAGTGACTTAGTTATGGCAAAGTTTTGGCTCATTGCAACTCCAGCAGAATGGTAACACCTGGGGGAAATAAAAAGGTGGATCCACTGTGGCTTCAATAGATCCTAGCAGTCAAATGATCATGGAATCATTTGAGTTTACTCCTTGGTACGATTTTGGTTAGAAGATAATTGCCTTCTTACTGTGGTCAAGGGCAGATTTACCTCTGTGTGCCCAGGTGGGTGGACCAAGGGGAAACGTTAGATTTTTTGCTCCTGGAGTGACATATCCCTATTTATCACAGTGAATTATTAGGACATGCACGATTAATTGAAGATGGTGAACTTAATTAGGACATGTAATCTTCTTTATCCTAATCATGGTTTTAATTTGAGTGTACATAAAATCGTAAGCATCCCTGGCCCCCTCCACTTCCTGGTCAGTGCCCACAGTCCTACAGAAGCTTTTTTTTTTTTTTACTTTTTAGGGAAATATTTAATTATTACATACATTCATGTATTTGCAGTTTTTAAATTCCATATCCATTATACATACTATCTTTTTTGTATTGATTACATTGCATTATGTGACACAGTTTTATAGGCACTGGGATTCCCCCCCATCCTTCCCCAGACCTTCCCCCCATGGTGGAATTGGACCACCAGACGTTTAATCAAATAAAGGTCTTTCCTTTCACGCGGCACTTCATGTCCACTGCCCAATTTGTACTGAAGATATGCTTGATATTATGTCTTTCTTGCTCAGCATTGAAGAGTTACATTTCGTGATTAGTTTAAAGGCTCACCATGTTTATCTTCATTAGATACCACTGATGTACTAACTATATATTCTGAGCCACCACCAAGAGATCATTGCCATGGAACACTAAGGAAATTTTTTACTTATATGCATAAGTATACACTTTTGGTAAAAAAAAAAGAAGAAGAATTACTGAATTTTATGTATAAACTTATTAAACATAATTTATAAAATCACATTGATGTAATTTAAAAGTCCAGAATTTAAAAAGTTTTTTTAAAAGTTCAATATTTAAATTTTAGGAATTAAGTATAAGAATTAGGCATGGCAATTTCTCAATTTTTTTTTTTTCAGAAAGTTTTTCGATCTGTCAATTACACATGTGTGTTGTGACTGATTTTCAGATGCCATGGCTAACTTTGTGATTCTGACAGAAATAATACAGGACAAAATTTCTGTCACTTGAATTCTTTTTTTTTTTAAGATTTATTTATTTTTATTGGAAAGGTAGATATACAGAGAGGAGGAGAGACAGGAAGATCTTCCGTCCGATGATTCACTCCCCAAGTGAGCGCAACGGCTGATGCTATGCCGATCCGAAGCCAGGATCCAGGAACTTCTTCTGGGTATCCCACACGGGTACAGGGTCCCAAAGCTTTGGGCTGTCCTCGACTGCTTTCCCAGGCCACAAGCAGGGAGCTGGATGGGAAGTGGAGCTGCCGGGATTAGAACCAGCGCCCGTATGGGATCCTGGGCGTGCAAGGCGAGGACTTTAGCCATTAGGCCACGCTGCTGGGCCCTGTCACTTGAATTCTTAAAGGAATTTATCATTAAGATTCATAGAGAAGGCAATTCTTCAATCATTTGTATTTAATTAAGAATGGAAGAGCATAGCAATTATTTCAGTAATTTAAAAATGCATTGGGTATTTTTGCTTTTGATCTGTCTTCATAAAATGTGAAGAATTCCAAGATATCACATTTATAAAAAGTTTATAGTCTAAATGAAATTAAAAATGAAAATCAAATGTAATAATTAAAGTTTTTTACTATTAATAAAGGTAGCAAAATATACAAATGTAATATAAGGTATATGAGATATAACTTTAATTATTCACTTAGTTTATAATATTTTGATAGGGCAACCCAAATAAATTATTTAGAATCTCTATTTTATTAACATCTGTGGGGTCAAGGAGTGTTTCTTGATTACCTAGTGAACATTCCAGGAAATATTTAAGAGGATTTTTTTTTTTATAATTTTACTGGTAACATATGAGAGTGTTTATTTTCCTGTACTCTTAACATTGGTAATATTTAATCTTAAATATTTGGAAACGTATAGGTTTAGTCCTTTAGGACACACTGAGGTAAGCCTCATCAGACCTAACAATCTATTCCGGCAGAAGGGCAGAGGGAATAAACCCAGCTCCTGGGATGCATGACAGTGGCGGCTGTTTAGCATGGGAGAAGCCAGGGCAGGAAATGTAGCTGATGATTAATCAACTCCACATGTTGAATTCAGCAAATGACAATGGAAGGTTTGAAGAACATGGGCAAGTCAGGTATGGTTCAGAAATGTGTTGGTTGGCCAGGATACCAGCAAACATTGGTAAGGAGATAATCGCCATAGATAACAGGCAATGGCGGCTGATCTAGCAGTGAAGAGAACAGAAAATATTATGGTATAGAACTATATGAACACATCTTGCACTCCAGTTTCTACAACAGACTAAGATTTTATTCCATTGCAAGAGTCAGGTCATTAATACATTTTCTGAATTTGCCTTGATGAATATCAATATGAGTGGACCAAAGACAGAAAATCTAATTTCCTTTTGATTCAATTTCATCTTTTGCATGAAAATCGGGACCATCGAAAGGCCCATCAGGAAATTCTGCCTCAGAGAACTGAAGAAGACTGTGGGACCAGGAAGGGGGCAGATCGCATGTAGGGTCCTTGTGAGGAGGAAGAATACACAGTATACCCATTTCAGGGTTCAAGTTCAAGCAGTGGACAGGGAGCAAATCAAACTATGATGCGACAACTCTCATTTCTCTCTCTAACAATTTCCCTCTCTCTCTCCCTTTTGTTTATTTCTGTTTTCAAAGACTTACCTCCCGCAGCCAGCCATCTGCCCTGACTCTGTCTATAAGCTGATGCTCAGCTGTTGGAGAAGAGACACCAAGCAGCGTCCTTCATTCCAAGAAATCTACCTTCTGCTCCTCCAACAAGCAGACGAGTGAAGCTGCAGGTGCCTGGCAACGTGCTGAAGGCCTGGGGCCTCCCACATGACCTACCACTCACCCACGCTAAGCCACTTCATCTGGACATTCAACGGACTTGAGGGACACAGGGTGCTTGCTTTGTTCTCCCTCTGTCCCTCATCTCCTCCACTCCCTACCCCTGACTCATATATACTTCTCTCTTTTTTTTTTTTACATTAAAGAACTAAAAATGAAAAAAAAAAAGGCCTTCGGGCAGATAAAATACAGTAAAGAAATATTACTTGATATACCAACGTGTTGGATAACAAAGGTTAGAAATTTCAGATAATTTATAAAGGTTAAATATGCTTGTGTTTATTAATGTGCAGATTCTACAATATTTTTTTCTGTGTTGCCTTCTAAGACTATCTTCAGAAAGAAAAACTTGAATAGAAAGTCTTGGGAAACATGAGATTAGGTGTTAGGAAAACATTTTAAAGATGTACAAAAATTGAGGCTGTGGTGTTCACCAACTCATTGCAGATGCTTAATCAAACTTACTTTGTATTTCCCGCTCCTGTCAAAGTGGATGGACATTCCTGAAGGATTCCTGTTTCTTGGAATAAGTGGGTTTGTTCATTTATGGACAAGGTTCATGGATGAAGTCTGTATATGAAAACCAAGGGATGTGAGGGAACATGGTAGCTTCAAGGCTCTAGGAAGGAAACTGTCATTTGCAAAAGGGACAGGGACAATGTCACTCCTGGAAGGAGTCTTGAGTTGAAAATAGACATAGGGAAGATGGTTTATGGAGTACAGGTAACAGGTGGGCTTCTCGTTATTTATTTGTTACTTCTGCAGAAAGTTTTCTTCTTTGGCTAGTTTGATCGTGTGTGTGTGTGTGTTAGCGAGAGCCTGATTTTTAAATCAGCAAACATTGTGTTTTGATTTCTGCATGGTGAACCCATTGGTTCATCTTGACCAAATATTTTAGCATTTCCAGTTAAAGAGCTGTGGGCTGAGTTACTCAGGTGTGGGTTTCTAGATGTATAACAATGCCCAAAAGGTTGGGCTAGGAGCAATAAGGGGAGATTATAGGGAACCTGATTTTCACCACTTGTTAGAGAAAGCACAGTTGGAACATGCAAGGATGAATGCAAAAGGAGCTCTCAGCCACTGAAGAAGTTTAAGGATGTGTTAAAGAATCATGCATGAAAGATATAGAGGTTTTAAAACACAAGGCATAGGGCTTGTATGAGATAGTGCATGTCCTTTTAATCACAAGAGTCATTTTTTCCAGAGAGAAACAAGAGCGAGCATAGCTTGCCAATGCTCAGCACACATATTCTTGCCTCCATGAAGGTAAGATCAGCAGAAAAGAAAGCGCTGGGTTCTGGCTTCAGAAATAACGGAGGTTGATACCCTGGTAAGTAAGAGAATCCCATCCGAATGGAGCTGAGATTCTACACATCAGAAGTTTTCAGATTGACTGGGAAGCAAGGAAGGAAACCTGAAGTTCCACTGAGAGGAAACCAGAAAGATGACATACTGAGCTTCCCATGCTGAGAACACATATTCTTGATCCACTGGATCTTCTCTTGCCCTCACTGGTCCACCTTCTTCAATTTCTCAACTTCAGTATTTCCTTTGTTCAGCCTTCAGTACTGCTCCAGGCCACTTTGTAAGCATCAACCCCTAGCCCTCCCATCCCCAATTCATTTGTCAGGTAACCTGACCGTAGCAGATGCCTTCTCCCCATGGTTATCCTGTGACTCTGGTTGTATTCTTTCCTGGGACTAACTTTGGTGAGGTTATTTTATTGTGAGTCTGGAGAACACAGGTTTGGGAGATTTGATCATCCTCCTCCAAGCCAAATGTGTTAGCTTGAGCAAATTGTTGTCTGATTTTGTTTTTCTTATCTTTAAAGTGAGGAGATTGACTTTGATTGCATCGAAGCCTCTTCCAGTTCTGTTACGTTCGATGTTTGCAGGATAATAAGATCAATGACTACTGCATTCAGTGCTCTGATCATCTGTGAGCAGAAGTCACTGTAACAGTAATAGCAACACCTGTTACCTGCATCGTGCCTTAAGGTTTACCAGGTGTTTTCACATAAGTTATCCTGTTTGATTTATTTCAGAGCCAGGCATGTCTTCTTGTACCTCTGGACAGACTCACAGACTTTGACTTCAAAATAAAAGCAGTGTGAAAGCAGGACTCACAGCCTATTCCCCCCATCTGCATGCATCTGGTAGGGCTACACCCAGATGATGCCAGGACTTCTTGTGCAGCAAGAGAAAATAATTTGATTTCCCTTTTCTTTACTGAATATCTCTCCATTTATTACCTTATTGCCCTGTCTCACTGTATTGCATGATTCTGTATTTTAAAAAAGCACACTTGAAGAAAATGTTCAGGATTTCCCTGTTTCAGATGGCTGCCAAATAGGCAATAGCATTTTCAGAAATCAGTGTGTGGGATGATGGCCCTGAGATCTACCTGCTGACACTGAGACCTTTGTAATAGAGATGCAGGTTTAACCTGCATACTGAAAGATGCTCATCATACTGAAAGATCTCAGCAGCACAAACGGAAGGGATACGGTTAAGGAAACCTGAGTTGGACGAATGAAGCTAGATTGTATTGAAAGAAGAGATAGGCAATGTGATGAGAAACCATAGGGCTTTGTCTCATTTGCATGAAACTGTCCTCTTCATGATGCAGGTGAACTGTTTTATAGCCAACTGTGTTTTTGAATTACCCCACCTAAAATTAGAATTTTTATGGCTATATGCTAATAATCATCTCCAGATCTTGTGTGGCTCGCACACGTACATGATAGAAAAGCATCTGGAGTAGAAAAAGCACCCAAGGAGAAAATGTGGTTCTAAAGTTGTGGAAAGATCTTTTGTGAATGTGTAAGTCTGTGTAACAGAGAGGATTTTGTGTAAGTGGGATAAAAAAAAATGGATACATGAATGTGCATAGGCCTGACTGCGGAGGAAGGTGGAGGACGAGAAAGAAGATGACATAGATGGTGGAGAATTCACAGGGAAGAGTCAAATGAAGCCAAGAGCAAATGAGGGTAGCTGTTGGGAATCCAACCCAGAGCTTGAAAACAAATCCTTCTGAAGAGAGATCTGAGAGAGAACAAAGTGAATGTCTCAAAGAAAGAGGATATCGAAAGATGATAAAAAATACTCTTAAAATAGGAAAGTCAAGTGCAATGCAGGAAATGGAAGATTTCTGAGTTTCAAGTAGGGAGAGTCCCTTTGAGGATATAAAAATGTGAAGGCAAACATCAGGGAATGGCCTTTGCACGTTCTAAGGGAGCAGATGTGGGAGGTAGTTTGAGCTCTGGATTCTAGAACAGTTCTAATGTTGCTGAGAAGAATGCGACTCTTCCTGAATCCGATTTGGTCTTCCAAGTGCTGCTCAGGAAGCAACGACCGAGAGCTGGGGAGTTGATGGCATTTCATATATCTTTTTGAGTTCCCTGTTCTTTTTCCTCTTTGAGTGACATTCATGTTCAATCATGCACATCCCTGCTGTGCCCAGAAAAGCTTCAGGCAAATATGGGAACAAAGGTGACAGGTGAGACAAGGTGAAGTCTTGTGTAAAATCTACACCAGCAAGTGGGTGCTGTGCTGGAACAGGTGTTTTTCTAGTGCCATCCTGGCTTCCCGTAAGAAAGCTGTGAAGTGGGGCTAAGCCATGTGTTTTAAAGTAAAGAAGAACAGAGGGGAATGTCCGAAGGAGGGAAGAAGATGATGAAGTGATGATGTTTCAAGGAAATATAGTAAAACAAAACAGCATCTGTTTTGTCCTGAAATACATCTCCACTCGGGGGAGGGGGGAAGGAGAGAGAGAAACAGAGAGGAAGAAAGAGAGAGAGAGAGGGAGAGAGAAGAAAGAGAATTACAGTATGTATATATGGCTATTAAGTCTGTGATCCTAAATTGAATATCTAGATTTGCAATTTACCATTTTAGTTTTCTGTTCCCAGTAAGCACGTACATTGCAGCTTCTCGTTGCTTCTGGAAGGTGTGGATCCTGAAGCTGTAAATCCTTCTGGATTGTAACATTTTTGCAGAAACAGATGAATGTTTTTCTGCTTAGTAAATGTTTTGGAATGTTGAATTGAGAGGGAAAGAAGCTGAAGGTTAGTGGTGATTTGATTTCTGCATGAGTTCTCAGCTACAGTTAGATTCATGGCTTTGTGGTAGAAGGGATGAGTAATTGTTTAGTTGCCTATTTTTTAAACAATTTGCTATTTTGAAATAATTACCCAATTTCAAAATCAGTCATTGACTGTGGCATAATACTCTCAACTACAAACTTAATGTCATCCCATCAGTTTGTCCAACATGTACTCATTTAATTACTGGATATTTTCAACCCTTGATGATTTATAGCTTGGTTTTGTTTGGGTGTAGCAGAAAAACAGTGTCTGGATACAATTATTCAGGATTTAAGAGCATATAAAAACTACCCTGCTCCTTTAACAATGAGCATTCTATTGCCTATACTATTTCTAAATTTTCTGGCTTGTTTGATTGGTAGGCATCTGAAATAAACAGAGGGATCATTGAAAAATTAAGCCGCACAGAAGATCTATCTCTAACTAGCTGTCTAGAAAACTTAGAAGGAAATTTTACACGGTCCCTGAGGTTCCAGGAAGATTAGGATTAGGATTGCAGTGATAACAGGCAGAGGATGATAATCAGTATGTTGGTCAAAATTGAGGTGGTACTTACTGACATGAGAGAGACTTTATGGAAGAAAGAAAACCCAACAGTATGGATGCCTTATGTGTGATAAACCATTATTTTCAGAGAAGTTTCTTTTGCCCAAATATCTATTCTTACATCAAATCACAATCACATTGAATGAAAGTAAACAGAAACACAACCTGGTCGGGGGTAGAGGGAAAAACTCTGGTTTTGTTTATTATAATGTTGAGTTTTATGATAACATTATTGAGCTTCCTATTTAGGGGGTCACAAGATTGTAACAATGTGTGTCTTGTAAGGTTCCTAGCACATTTATGAGCACTCAAATAGATGTTTGCTGCACGTGTATTTTCAATGAATAAAATATGGAAATAAAAGCTTGTCATCTAGCATTACTAGGCTGAGTTTAGAGAAACTTGTTGTAGTAACCTAGAGAGTTGATTTTCAAATGAGGAGATGGTGGGGGTGGGAGGATGGGGAGAGGGTAGATCCATGACTGGCGAAGTCCATCTTCTCGTGGAACATACTTCCTAATGGTGAAGTTGGTCAATGGAAATGCTATATTCTCTGAGGTACCAAGACAGCAATGAGAGAGCTCTGCACAAGAAGAGACTTGACCCCCAACCCCGCCATCTAGTTCTCCCTGCAGACACCTTGTCAACAACTTGATGGTTCTCTACAGGAGAAGGAGCTGCGACAGGAGCCAGCCCATGCTTCTCCACAGTCAGGAATTGTGTGTCAAGAGCAAATTGCAAAGAGATCTTGAAAAGAGGCTTGGAACTAAGTGAAATTCGGGAGGATTCCTGCAAACACACCAAGAATCTAATCTAGTGTATTCATTTTATGCCTTAATCTGTACATGATGTTCTTTTCTGCCCTGCCTGGTGACTTTTCTGAAGATTGAGAAAACACCATGATGTACTCTTCCTTGAAAAGAGCCTTGCGCTGCAGGCTTTGGAGATCATGAGCCTTTGCTGAGAGGTAAACAACAAATGGATTTAATCTTTGTTTAAAACTAGCGTTGTATTTCCAAAATAGAGTATGTCAGATGTCTTTGTAATAGAAAAAGAAATATGACTCCAACTGTACATTTTCTTTTCTTTATTTATTCTCTGTAAGTCTGTCAGATGATAAATTGTAAATAACAATAATTAAAGACTCATGCTACTGATGGACCCCTCTTCCTGTGTGACTAACTTCAGTTCTGGGTTTTGTTTTTCAACTCCTTGCATCATCACAGAAGAAGCGACAGGGCACAGGGACAGAACTGGGTGTATCTGATGGGGACAGCCATCTGCTGGAGCTGCCGAGCTGTCTGACATGGGTGTGTGTGTGTGTGTGTTTAAATAGGCTACTAAATCATGAGGTGACTTTTAATTGGAAGAAAAGCATCTTGGTTTCTGACATATTGAAACATATTAACCATGGAGATTTTGTGTCCTCACAGTTAGTTGAGCTCTGGAAAATCCATTGCAGGCAGAACAGTGGATGTTTTATTGTTATAGGCTTGTCTTTTTGACCACACAGACATCCCTTCTGAATCCAAATGTCATCTCTCGGATCATGGAAACGTGCATGAATCAACAAAGAGACTAAGAGCCAGAAAACAGATTTCACAACGGAGATTAGGAGAAAACCACGAGAAATAATACATTTCTGATTTGTTCCCTGAAGAATAAGTTTATACATTTAATCTTTTGAGTAATACAAGGATGCCTTTTTTTTTTTTTCTAGCAAAGATTGTAGCAGGTCAAGGGATGACTGTAATATGTTAAAGAATAGCTGGAGCATGCGTGAATGCACATCATACATACCAGGTCGATTCTAGGACAAAAGGCTACAGGTGCGGCGGGAGTGAATGACGGAGGGATGACGGAGGGATGACGGAAGCAGGAGAGCACAGATGTTAGACACACCATACCGCCATCAACACCTAGCAGCAAGGTGCAAAGGCAGATAGAGGTGAGTTATGTCGTGGTGTAGGCATGCTCTGTGTCTACTTGAGTATATGAATTCAGCACAGAGATTATGTCTACTCTAACATTTTAAATAACAAGTTAAAAGCACTGTATTTTTTTTTTTTACTAAGGTTTGAAGACCAGCACACTGATTTATCTCTGCTTATCATTGTATATTCATTTCTTACTTAAAAGAGAAATTTATACTCTATCGTCAGGGTCTTAAATTCTACAAAACTCGGATTTTTAATATGCAGGCAATACACAGCCTTTTACACTCTATCAAATTGTGAAAATCTAACTCCAGGAGTTGTATTGGTCAGGCTGGATATGTATTGATTTGAAGGGAATTGGGCCGAGATGGAAGAGACACGCATGGGAAGCCACACAGCCCTTCCAGCAGCTTTCATTTGCCTGTACAAACTATAGAGAAGTTAGTTCTGGAGAGTTTCATGGACAGGGAACAGAGCTCTGTTGTGGGGATAGGAGGGCTTGGATATCCTTACTCATCCCTAAGGACCGTTTCAGGTGTCATGAAAGGAGATCTGTTCCAGGGTTTAGGGTAGAGGCAAATTTATTTCCTGGAACAGTAGAAGTTGCTACATTTACTATTTCAGTTGGGACCACTGTGGACCGCACTGCTCTGGTTTTCAGCAAAACGAGATGAGGGATGATCAAAATGATACCTATAAACTTATTTGACAATAACAATTTATTATGTGGTTACTGAGTGGTATCCCATCCATGATGAAGTATTTTCAAACTATAGACTTAAATGACATTTAAACAGAGATCTTTTCTCCTGGTCTCTCGGGCACCTCGGGTCCATTGTAAGCACCCTGACCACAACAGTGTGAGCCAAGCAAAGGAAGAGGCTAGATGGTCTCAGCAGGCTTGGATGGAAATCACGGCGGAGGAGAGATCAGGGTCTAACTCTGAAGTCTCGTGGTCTTCTGGCGATTCCTAGTCTGTCATCCCATGACTGGAGTGGAGATGGGGGTGGTAGCTGAGCTGCTGGAGTTTCGTTCCATTGACTCCTTGGCTGTAGTGAGTTTCCTGGGCAACTGCTACACAAACAGATCTTTTGGGTCTACACTCTAGTCATGGGAATAAACCACACTCCAGAATTTTCAGAAAATATTGATTTTTTTTTTTTTTACAAATAATGAGATGAATGTAGAAGCTGATTATGACAGCAACTATAAGGAAATACTATTTAGGATTCTAATATTCAAACAGTCTTGTTGGCTCAATATAATTTTATTGGTACAAGTGGTTACTAAACCACTTGAGGTTATTAATCACATTTCTGGAACCAAACATCAATATAGATTGTCAGGCTGTTGTTTAATCCTTGTTCATAAAAAAACTAAAACTTTGAAAAGGCCATATAGGGATCAGCATGATGGCTCAACTAGCTAATCCTCCACCTTGAACTGCCAGCATTCCACATGGGAGCCGGTTCTAGTACCAGCTGCTCCACTTCTAATCCAGCTCCCTGTTTATGGACTAGGTAAGCTGCGGAGGACGGCCCAAGGGCTTGCGACCCTGCACCCACGGGGGAGACCCCGAAGACACTCCTGGTTCCTAGTTTCAGATTGTTTCAGCTCCAGCCTTTGTAGTCCTTTGGAGAGGAACCAGCATTTGGAAGATCTTTCTATGTCTTTCCTTCTCTCTGTAAATCTGCCTTTGAAAATAAATTAATTAACATAACAAAGTAAAGAGAAAGCTATGAGGTTGATTGTGTTACGTAGAGATTTAGAATGGACAGTGTCACTCAGTAGGGACCAAGTGTAGGCCAGTTGAATCCAGCATAAACACAGAGACCCAGGGCAAGCATGAGAAACCTGACAGCAGCTTGCCGGAACATTTTCATATGCAGTGCATCTAGTAATAAGAATCAAAGCTGTTTGTGTTTTAGGGATTTGTTTTTATTTCCCTAGCAAGTATTATGATTTGCCTTTTACAAAGGGTTCCCTATGTGGAATTTGCAAACACAGCAGAGAAATTAGCTCTGGGTGTTTCTGATTCCATGCCACACTCAGGTTTTGAAGAATCATTCACCCATGATTCTCTGTAACACTTTTTAAAAAAGGCTTATTTATTTTTATTGGAAAGTCAGATATACAGAAAGGAGGAGAGACAGAGAGGAAGGTCTTCTGTCTGAGGATTCACTCCCTAAGCAGCCACAACGGCCAGAACCGCCCTGATCCGAAGCCCGGAGTCCGGAGTCCCTTCTGTGTCTCCCACACAGGGGTGCAGGGTCCTCAGGCTTTGGGCTGTCCTCGACTGCTTTCCCAGGCCAAAAGCAGGGAGCTGGATGGGAAGTGGGGCTGCTGGGATTAGACTCAGTGCCCATATAGGATCCGGGCACGTGCAAGGAAACTTTAAGACTCTTAATAAAACCAGTGTTCACTGTCCCGAAGAGAATTCTTTACCGAAAAGCAAAGCTGCGCTGAGAAGTGACTCCGTGCATATCCAATCAAGATTTGGGAAACTAAAGTTTAGCTCCTAGAACCGAACCTGTGTGTCTGTATGGTGTTTCTCGATCACGCCCCTTGCAACCGTAACCACGCCTTCGACTGCAGCAGCCACGCCCCCGGCAACCGTAACCACGCCTCCGGCAGCAGCCACGCCCCGTCAGCAGCAGCCACGCCCACCGGCCTCAGCAGCCACGCCCCCACGCCCACCGCGCCTCACGCGTCAGGGGGCGTGCCTTGCGTCACGTAGGGGCGAGGAGAGCTCGGATTGGCTCTTCCGGCGGTGTCGCGCGGCTCCGCCCCTCTGCCTACCTCACCCCACTGGGCCCCGGGCGGTCAGCGGACGCCGGGCGGCCTGAGGGGCGGGGTGGACGGCGGCGGGAAGGTGGGACCTGGCCCTGCGGGGGATGGTGAGGGATGCTCGCGGTCGCGGCCGAGGAGGGGATTGGGCGGCCTCACTTCCGCCAGCCTGGTGCGCGTCCCGCCGGGCTGCTCCGCGAGGATGAGGAAGGTGGTTTTGGTCACCGGGGCTAGCAGGTGAGGTCTCGTTCGGGACCGCGGAGGTGATGGCGGATCAGGGGTGAGCGTTTGGAACGAATGCTCAGGGTGCAGAGAGGAACGCGAGAGCGTCGCCGTGAGAACCCGTGGCTGTGAAGGGAGAGGGGGCTGCCCGCGGCCCCTGGCCGCTCCCCGCAGTGCCGTTCCCGCATCCCTGAGGGTCAGGACCGCGGGTGCCACACACCTGAGCCCCCCTCTGCAGGCACACGGGGAACATTGCACGTGTATATTGTGCTCTGTGCAGTTGCATGTTAAAATTTGCCATTCTCACATGAGAGTATATCGATGCACGTATCTGGTGCGATTTTGGCAGGGCCAATAGATTACAGTCCTGTGTAAGTCCTGTGTAGAATCCTGTTGGCCTAGGTTTTCCTGCACTTTGCCAGGCTGGTCTGTCTGCTGTCTGTATTTCTTAGCGGTGCCCTTCCTGGACTGATTTATTCACCTTTGAATCTTTGCTTCACTTCCTGACCCTTATCTGATAGTTAACCTTGTGCTTGGCTCCTGGGTAACCACATGGAGATCCTTCTCTTTCATAATTGATTGAACCCCGGCTTGCTTTTGAAGCCTCTTGCTAAAACATTCTTCCGTCCCTTACCAGGAATTCCTGTTGATTGTTACCGTGAGAGCGATACCAACAGCCCCTGTCCTTGGGGTATCCAGACAGCAAAATAAAACATCCACGCGAGAAACGGCTAAAAGGCTGTTTTTCAAAGTTGCTGGTACTGTGTTGAGTCAATTTCCTAAGTACCACCAAGCTGTGGACCCCATAAACTAGTCATCAGAATGCTAAAGGACAGTTGATTGCCATCCAGCCATGTCAAGTGAACTTGTTGGGAATGGGCGAAACATGAACTGGATGTTATGTTTAGAGGCTAGAAGATTCTCTGTCCCTTAAATAATTGCTGAGTAGTTTTGTTTTGTGGGCTGCTCACTGCCACTCAGCACAGCGAGGAATGCTTCTGTGTGTCCCCATGCCCTGACTGCATGTCCTGCCTTTGGTCTTCTCAGTGGGATCGGCCTTGCCCTTTGCCAACGCCTGCTGACAGTGGACGAGGAGCTGCACCTGTGTTTGGCGTGCAGGAACATGGCCAAAGCCGAAGCCGTCCGCAGCAGCCTGCTGGCCTCTCACCGCAGCGCCCAGGTCAGCATTGTGCAAGTGGACGTTGCCAGCCTACCGTCGGTGCTCCGGGCCGCGGAGGAGCTCAAACAAAGGTTTGTGTCTGGATTTTTTTTTTCTTTTCACACTTGAGATGATGCAGCCTATTTTATTTAATAAAATAAGAAGGGATAGGAAAACATAAAAAAATGGGGGGGGAACAGTTGAAAGGTGATGCGGAGAGAATCATTGGAGAGTGGCCAATTGGTTTCATTCTCAATCATTCAATACACTTACCTTGACCTGTGGTCAAATTTTAAGGCTTTATATCAATGTACTGGCTTTAACAAGTGAAAAAATGGATACAGAAATCGGAGTGATTAGCCCAAGAAGACCACGTGACTGTTATTGGCTGAGTCGGTCCTAAGAACTTGGTTCTTTTTACCGTTTCTTCAGGAATTTGTATTTATCAGGCGTTTTTCTAAATACCTAGTGTGTGAAGCAAGAGTCCTTGAGTGTGTTGCTTCCCTGAAACTGTTCACACAGTGTCCTATAGAGAAGCACAGTGCTTTTTCCTGGGGGAGAGGTTATCCTTCTCTAAGATTTTAAGGAGAATCTATGCTCAAAAAGAGTCACAAAACTTGCACTTGTCCCTGTAGAGCCCCAGGATTATCCAAAGAGAATTTCAAAGTTTTTTTGAATTTGGACATCATAAAAAACAAGGAACTGCTTATTTCCTTGGACAGTGAAAAGGAGTGTGACGGAAACAAAAGAAGTTCTTGGTAAAGAAGTTGGCTGCAGAGTAATATGTTGCGTCATGTTCATATGAATAGATAGTCACGTCCCTGGTCCCCATGCACCTGTTCCGGAACAAGCGCTGCTTTTCTTCGTTCCAGCTGTCCTTATCGGGCCCTTAGTCCTCCGTGCCTGGGTGTTCTGTTTTATCTGTTGAGCTTTTCCAAGTTAACATCTCAGCATTTTTCTCCTTTTTTTTTTTTATACAAAAAAACAAAATGTTTATTTTCATCTGTTTGACAGTCCGAGTGACACCAATAGTGACAGTGAGAGAAATTTTCCTTTAGTTTGACTCTCAAATGACTGCAACACCCAGGGCTGCGCCATTCTGAAACCAGAGGCCAGACCCCACCCCGTTCACCCATATCAGTGGCAGGGGCCAAAGTGCGTGAGGCACTGCCTGCTGCTCTCCAGGAACCTGCACCTGAAGCTGGATCAGAAGTCGAGGAGCCGTTGGTTATTTGATCTGGTACTCTGATATAGGATGCCAGCATTGCAAGTGGAGGCTTATTCCATTGTGCTACAACAACTGCTTCTGTCGTATCTTATTTTAAACAGCCAACGGGTATTTCCTAAGTAATACTTTCAAATAAATTGTGATGTGTTCTACCTCTCTTACTCCTCCATAACCGTGAACATCACTGAGTCTCTGAAATGGCCCAGCAAGTGTGCTGGTGGAGTTACGCACCGCAGGGTCAGGAGAGCAACTGGCAGGCATTTTTCTTTCAGAACCTGGCAAGCTGGGAGTCTTACTTGTGTGTAGGTTTCATTAGACTTCCGTTTCTGCACAAAGGAACCTCCATCCTCCGTTAGTTATATCCGCAAATCTTTACAGTACAGTTGGTTCTGGAAGAGGGAAAAGTTGTCACATTTGTAGTTGTTGGCTAATCCTTAATTGCTTCCAAGATTCGGGACACTCAGTAACTGATTTAGCAATGGAGCACAGATCCAAAGCAGTGAGGCTTCTGCAGGGAAGGGAGCGCTTCAGGCAGTGGATGGGCTGGGTGAGCCAGCGTTTGGGTGAAGCTGTGGTGAGTCTCTGTCATGTTCAACATTGCTTCTCTGAGATGGGTAGAGTCCTACAGATTTAAGAAATTCGATGTTTGATGATATTCATTATGGAGATTGCCTGCTTACATCAAGTCTCTGCTATTCCTTATGCCTGCCCACCGGTCCTTTCCGTCTGTGATGCAGTCTGCTGTTAGATTGCACACAAACGGAAGCTCCCAAGAAATAGTGAATCTGTGTCATCCAGAAGCCAGCCATCGTGTCCAGCACTGTACCTGAGAGGAGTGTGTGGCTCTGCTGTAGCCAGAGCTTAATTTGGTGTTCAGGACCAGGTTCCACTGTCTTGTAAGCAGAGTATGATAATGTTCTTAAGTGAAAGCTTGCTAATTAGATGGTGAAATAAGTCTATGGCCCTCAGTAAATGAGCCAGTGGTATCAGTCTCAACATTTTAAACACCTACAGGCTAGCAAAAACTGCCTGTGCTTAATCCATGTTGGTCACCTTGTATGCATTTCTAGGCCTTACTGTTAGCAGCTATGGCTGCATTGGTTTAGAGCTGTAGATGGAGGACACACACAGTGTGATGCACAGAATTCTAAGACATATTCTGAATTATTTGTGATGTGTGTGAGGATCATGAAAGCAGGGCTCACCTGTCTAGAACCTAGTTGGAAAGAGGTATCGTTGGATTGAAGCTTGAAGGGTTAATAGTTCCCGTCAGAATTTCAGTGTTCTTTTTACAAATACTCTGGAGGGCGCCTGCCGAAAATACCTTGCCTTGTCTTAACTTTCGTTCTTTTCAATGAAAAATTTCGATTTGAGGGGTAGCGAGAGATGGAGAGAGAGAGAGAGAGAGAGAGAGCCCTGCCACTTGCTGGTTAACGGCACACAGGCCTGCAACACGGCCGGTTGAAATCAGGAGCCAGGTACTCGGTGTGGGTCTCCGTGTGAGTGTTGTGGACTCAGCAGACTCGAACCATTGGCCTGCTGCCTCTTGGGGTATGCGTTAACAGGAATCTGGACTGGAGAGTAGAGCCAAAACTAAATCCTACACCCAGCAGTGTGGGGTGTGGGTGTCCCAAGGGAAGGCTCCCCAACTGCCTAGTAGCTGCCTCTTAGGACCTGCTTCCATGGCCTTTGTGCTCTAGGGACCTTCACCAGATCCGCCGGCAGCTTTCGTTTTAGTTGATTTCATGCCTTGTAGATTCCATGTTGACACATCTGACACATCCGGTGAAGTGGATGTTGGTACTGTGTGTGTTTCACCTGTTAGCTGAGGGAGAAGTAAATTATTTTAAAATGCAAACAAACCAGAACAAAAAACTCACAACTTTTCTTAGACTAGAAGAGTTATAAGGACAAATCTAGAAGGAATTATTGATCAGAGAATATTTGACATTAAAGCCACGGTTCAAACAAACAAACAAATAATTTGCTGTGGTTTAAGGAAAACTGTTGATAAGGAAATATTGTAACACTGGTGCTGAGTAAATTCCCTTTGTATTTTTTTTAAGACTTATTTTTTATTTTTATTGGAAAGTCAGATATATAAATATATAGAGGAAGAGAGAGAGAGAGGAAAATCTTCCATCCATTGATTCACTCCCTAAGCAGCCACAATGCCTGAGCTATGTCAATCCAAAGCCAGGAGCCAGGAGCCAGGAGCCTCTTCTGGGTCTCCCACATGGGTGCAGAGTTCCAAGGCTTTGGGCTGTCCTCAGCTGCTTTCCCAGGCCACAGGCAGGGAGCTGGATGGGAAGTGGCGCCTTAGGGATTAGAACCAGCACCCCTATGGGATCCCAGCATATGCAAGGTGAGGCCTTAGCCACTAGGCTATCACGCTGGGTCCTAAATTCCCTTAATATTCTTGCAACCATTTTACTGGTTTGGAAAGCCCTCTGTTCTCGTTAGGGCTTGCGTATCCGGAGGAAGAATGCACAGCTGGTCTCAGTGTATCCTGACGATGTTTGTGTTTTACTTGCAGATTTCAGAGGTTGGACTACATATATCTAAACGCGGGCATCATGCCAAATCCACAGCTCAATGTCAGGGCACTTCTCTCCGGCCTCTTTTCAAGGTAATTTCCATTTTCCAGATGAGCTAGCTGATTGGATGGGAGCTCTTCATTTTTTGCCTCATTTTGTGCTTGAGGCGTTCCTAAGAGATTGAAAGATAAAGGGATGCTGAGAGCAGAGATGACAGAGGAAGGAGGTTTGCATCTACATCACGAAAGAGAAGCACTCATGTCAGGTAGAAAACTCGGGTTCCTGTGACCCCTCGTTTGGGGAAATACAGGGAACTCAAGTTCTTCTGGAAGCTTCTCCATACACTTTAGTGCAGCGGCTTTCAGAAATGTTTGACTACAACCTAGAGTGAGAAGTCTTGTTTTGCAGTCCAGGATATGCATAAATACTGTACGCTGCTTAGTGTACCACTATCATTTTCCTTTTCCTTTTTGATCCATTTTGCTTTAATTCCATTCCACACGCACTCCACGCCAAATTGATCCCACAGCAAAAAGCTGTATTACTATATACTGTGTTCTAAGAATTCCTAGAAAAAAACCAACCTATTTAACACGAAGCATCCTGTGTCCCAGGGAGACCTTTTTCTCCTTGCTTTAGCTGCTGTTTCCTGAGATTACCTGTAAGCCAGCTTGGAGAGGGATGAGAGGTTAGCTGCAGTTTTTTGGGAGACTCGGGTTCCTGTTAAGAGTGAACCATATGCAAGCAAATAGTTCTACAAACTGTGCAAAGTGAGGCTTTTTTTTTTTATCTTATTTAACAGAATGATCCAATCTGACTGCTAGTCCTATTCCTGTTACTGCAGGCCCAAGGCAGCTGCAGTTTGTGAGTGTGGGATGGGTGAGGCGGTGTCTTTGGTATCTTGAACCTTTAAACAGTCATGCATTTGTCTTCTGCTGTTTCAGAAGAGTGATTCATATGTTCTCCACAGCTGAAGGACTGCTCACCCAGCAGGACACGCTCACTGCCGACGGGCTTCAGGAGGTGTTTGCGACCAATGTCTTCGGCCACTTTGTCCTGGTAACAAGACCGTTGGCTTAATAAGCCCGTTCTTAGGGGCTCTTTGGTTTATCGTCATTCATTCATGCCTAGTGTTAAATCTTTGGAAATATTGCTTCCTACTGTTGTAATACTAGCAGCCTGTTGATACATTCTTTCTTTCTGGCATCAGTCTGGAGTGTGGTGAAGCAAGTACAGAATCAATGTACAGAACTAAGAAAGCATGAATTGGGTTTGGCCTCAGATAGCGTTGGGTAGTGGTCAAGCCATTACTAGACGGTAATCCATAGTTATTTTCTTATGAGCATGATTTCGAAATTGTTTTGTGCAGCCATACTTGTGCGTGACAATTCGAGACACACATACGAAGTTAGGCCCGAGATGTGTATCTTATGGAGCGTCTTGTCCTTTTGCCTTCGTTTCAGTCTTGCACAACAGCCTTGACATCTAAAGTGATATGATGTTAGTTCCTTTTAATCCCTTCGTGCTGCAAGAACCTCTGATCCTGGGTTTTGTATTTATGCTTACTTTTTTTCTAGCTTTGGACCTCAGAATTGGACATTGTTGAGGACCAGCCTGTGTTTATAATATTTAAGGTGTGAGACATTGGAAGAGTATGAATCCATGCTATAAAACAGAAGAGCTGAATATTTAGTGTGCCTATCAGATGGCCTCCTGTATTTTATTAAGGAGAAACAGGATGCAGTCTGTAAACAGTTGTGTTCTGATTTGTATGCTCAAATGATATGGGAAACATTTCTAGAAAGATGCAGATGAATATAATGATACTGGCTGCTTTTGATGACCTAGAGTTGGCGAGACTTTAGGAATCGGCAGGTGACTCATGGTCCACTGTGTACCCTTTAATACTGATATTTTAATAAAAGGATTCTATGGTATTGTTTTTCCAGTGACAAAAATTAATTAAAATATGGCTAGTATAGGGCCCGGCACGGTGGCTCAAGTGGTTAAAGGTCCTCGCCTTGCACGCCCGGGATCCCATATGGGCGCCGGTTCTAATCCCGGCAGCCCCGCTTCCCTTCCAGCTCCCTGCCTGTGGCCTGGGAAAGCAGTCGAGGACGGCCCAAAGCTTTGGGACCCTGCACCCGCGTGGGAGACCTGGAAGAGGCTCCTGGCTTCGGATCGGCATAGTATCGGCCCGTTGCGCTCACTTGGGGAGTGAATCATTGGACGGAAGATCTTCCTCTCTGTCTCTCCTCTCTGTATATCTGCCTTTCCAATGAAAAAATAATAAAAATAAATCTTTAAAAAAAAAAAATAAAATAAAATATGGCTAGTATAGAGTTGATTTTTGATTCAGATATGTTTGTAGGCCTTTACAGAGGCCTATTATGTAATATTTCCACTGTGTTAAAGTTTTTTATTTGCCTTCTCTATGAATTAATAAATTAAATGTTAATGATGTTTGATTAGGTTATTGCATTTATAAAATTGTTAAAGAAGACAGGCAGTTGGGTGTTCTGAGAATGGTGCTGGGGAAACAGCAAAGAGTTGTGGCCACAGGTGCAGTTATGGTAAGGGACTGGGTGTGTCTCAAGGGTTCTGGAGTCCATTTATCAAATATAGTGGTATCAAAGTGTGTAATGCCTCCTGCCCTTTCCAAATTATAGTGAAGATTCTTGCTGTTGTTTGTGAATTACAAACCTGTATTCTGGTTTCAGATGTAAATGTGATTGATGTAACACGTAGTGTGATTATATGAGAGGACTTCAGAGGGATTGTGGAGTGAGCTGGCTTCGTAATCAGTTATATATACACACACACACACTTATATACACATTCACGGAAACGTACAATGTTTTCTATCATTTGAATTACAAGATATTTTTAGATACAATTTATATATGATTACCTATATAAATTTATGCATTATTCCGTTGCCTGTGACTCTGGCACCCCATCGAAGTGGCTGTTCAAGTCCTGGCTAATCCACTGCCAGTCCAGCACCCAAGACACTGAAGGGGATGGGCTAAGGATTTGGGCCTTTGTCACCCTAGTGGAAGACAAAACATGTCAGTGTTACTGCTGCGTGCAGCAGCATGAGCAGGGCTAGAGACAGAAGTGATGTGAAACTGACAAAATAGGAAATGAGAGACAAGACAATAAAGATTATAAAAGCTAGGTGACCGGAGGGAAGCTCCTTTCTCTAAGATCGACCCGGAAGGCTCATTGCTTCAGACTTTTGAATTTCTTAGGGAGTCAAATGATAGGAATTGATGTGGCATACACTTTGACAGCTATGCCCCATATTAGCATTAACCAGTAATACTTTACGCACGGGAAGCAGCAGTGTAAGCCAAGTACTGCAGTCAGCCTGTGACTGTCTCGAGGATATCTTAAAGCGCTCAGTCCTGTGGCCTTGGACTCCTGCCCTGCTGCAGACCCATCCTGCAGGCCTGACCTTGGTCTCAGACTTTTGCTCACGTATGGGTTGTAGCCAACAGAGGTTGACCTAGTTCTCGGACACCGGCAGTCTGTGGGCTCAAGCTTCCAGTTGCAGTCGCTCCTGCTCTTCCTCTTCAAGTCATGTGCTTACTGTTTTCCAAACTGTGGCAGATGCCGCCCAGCCCTCTGTGTAGCAGTCATTTGGGGAGTGAACCAGAGAATGGAAACTTAACTCTCATTTTGTCTCTACCTGCCCAACTCTGTTTTTCAAATAAATAAACAATTTTTTTGTTTTGCTTTATTTTAAAGATTTATTTATTTGAAAACAAAGTAACAGAAATACAGAGGCAAAGACAGAGAGATCTTCCATGTATTGATTCATTCCCCAGATGCCCATTGCGGCCAAGGCTGTGCCAGGCTGAAGCTAGGAGACAGGAGCTCCATCCGGGTCTCCGATGTGGCTTGAACCACTATCTTCTGCTTGCTAGATGCATTAGCAGAAAACTGGACCAGAAGAGAAGTAGCCAGGACTTGAACATGCACTCTTTTGTGGAAGGTTTGCGTCCCAGGAAACAGCTTAGTGCACTGTACCACTGTACCCATCCTGACCTGCTTGTTTATTCCTTTTGTCCCATTCAGATTCGGGAGCTGGAACCTCTGCTCTGTCACAGTGATGGTCCATCGCGGCTCATCTGGACATCCTCGCGCAATGCAAGGAAATCCAATTTTAGCCTTGAGGACATCCAGCACAGCAAAGGCCGGGAACCTTACAGCTCTTCCAAATATGCCACTGACCTCCTGAATGTGGCCCTGAACAGGCGCTACAACCAGCAGGTGAGCCCTGACTCAGTGATACGGATGTGATGGGGCAGTGGATTCTTAATCAACTACAGTTGACTTCCTGATAGCATGGCTGGGCGTTGTAGGTGAGACTGGTATTTGGGGGGACCTTTTAGGTCGGTGTGGTCCATTTACCATTCTGTGGCTCTTTAGAAACTCTGTGTATAGATTGGCACTACTGACAATAGTGCCGGCTACTTTACGGTCTCAGAACCTGCTCCACATCAGGGACCCTGGGATAACACTGGGCCATTCCACATTCCTGATGCTGAGGAGATTGGCAAGTTGGCTGTGGCTTCTCCCCTTGCCATCCCTCCTTCCTTTGGAGATTAGAAAGAAGATAAGGAGGGTGTGGGAAGAGTGGCCGAACTGCTCTCCCTTCCCGCTGCAATCAATGATGCAAACATCATCCAACAAACAAACAAAACAATACCTTGCCCTGAGTACTTCCTGGTACTCTGGAAACTTCCTTTTATCAGGCAAGACCATGGTGAATTCATTTTTCCATTTTTAAAAAGCTAGGATTTTATTTATTTAGTAACATTTCTGTTATTTGAGATGTTGTATTTAACCAAAAAGGCAAGATTCAGCTAATAGTGTAGAATCTCTTGAGATTGACTCAGTTTATGAATTTGATTCTTGAACAGGCAGAGTGAGGCCCACACTCACACAGAGAGACAGAAAGAGTTCCCCGTACACTAGTTCCTTCCTCAAATTCCAACAGAGAGCAGGAGTGGACCCAGCCGAAAGCTGGGAGCCAGGGGCTCCTTCCAGGTCTCCTACTTGATGATGTAAGAGACCTGGCTGATTCAGCCATTGCTGCTAGCCAGGGTGAGCAAGCTGGAGTGGGGAATGAAGCTGAACTCTTACCCAGGCACTCAGGCAACTCAGCCTGTGATTTAATCACCAGGCCACAGGCCTGCTGCCTCGTTGGCTTTTTTTTTTTAAAGAATTATTTATTTTTATTGCAAAGTCAGATGTACAGAGAGGAGGAGAGAGATTGTAGATCTTCTATCTAATGATTCACTCCCCAGCTGATGGCAATGGCCAGTGCTGCACTGATCTGAAGCCAGAAGCCAGGAACTTCCTCCAGGTCTCCCATGCCGGTGTAGGATCCCAAGGCTTTGGGCCCTCCTTGACTACTTTCCCAGGCCACAAGCAGGGAGCTGGTTGGGAAGTGGGACTGCCGGGGTTAGAACCGGTGCCCATATGGGATCCCGGGCGTGTTCAAGGCGAAGACTTTAGCCGCTAGGCCACCGCATTGTGCCTCCTTATTGGCTTTTATGAGGAAAAAAGAAGCTAAGAAAGAAATATTTTATGATATTCCTTTTGAAGTGTTGTGTTCCTGGAAATGTCTGTTTCTATATAGACTCCTTGAACATCATACATTAATGATACCCACAGAAGCCGTAAAGAAATACCCCAGGTCGTCACACGTTGCTCTCCTATAGTGGAACATGAGAAAGACTGTAGTTTTGGATAAGACCGTCTTCTTTATTTCTTTTGTCAGTGTCAAAAAGTTGTAAATGTTGAAAATCCTAAGATTTTAGTCTGGAAATTTTCTCATTTATGCCTGAATAGTACCTTAACTGCTTCTAGATAGACCTTAGAATAAGAAATTTTCTGTGGTGGTCTGGATTAAGCTTCTAGTTGCGGTTCCAACATCCTGTATTGGAGTTTGGCTCCATGTCCTGGCAACTCCCATCCAGTCCGGCTCCCTTCCAGTGTTCCTGGGGAAACAGCAGATAATGGCCCAAGTACTTGGATCCCTCTCATCTATGTGGGAGGCCTGGATGGAGTTCTTGGCTTCTAGCTGCAGTCTGGCCCAGCCTCGGCTGTTGGAGCGATTTGGGGAGTGAACCAGCAGGTGGAAGATATCTCTCTCTTATACTTCCTCTCTCTACCCATTTTTCCTCCTGTATTCTACTTCTGCCTTTCCCTCCCTTCTCTTCTCCCTCTCTCTTCTCCACTCTATTCTGTCACTCTGCAGTTCAAACAAAAAAATTCATTTTTTTAAAGCAAAGATTTTCTGATTATTCATACTTCAAAATTTTTGATACTAGAAACTCCTTAAATTTTCCATCCCAAATACCTGATTCATTGTGGGTGCCCAATGCATAATTCTTTTTCTCTTTTGAATTGTCTTTTTTTTTTTTTTTTTGAGAGAGAGAGAGCGTGAGAGGTGCCAGCCGTCCACTGTTTTGCCTTCCAAATGCCCACAGTGGTAGTGTCTGAGCTGGGGCTGAAAACACGGAGCTGGGTGCTTAATTCATCCCTCCCACTTGGGTGGCAGGAAGCCAGTTGCTTAAGCCATGACTGCTATCTCCTAGGGTCAACATTGACAGGAAGTTGGGAATAGGAGCTGAAATTGAGCCCTGAAGCCACGCCCAGTCTTCTTGACCACTGGGCTAAACACACATCCCTCAGTGCACAGTTCTTAAGCTTGGGTGATTTACCCAACTTCAGAGACAGCTGAGAGTGTAAGTTCTTCCTACTTTGGCCTTCTGACTCATATGTACATATCTCTTGTTAACTAACACAAAGATGGACAGAATCAGTACATATTGAATCAGACTCTTACTGCTACCCGGTCTGTTCCTACAGGGTCTGTATTCTAGTGTGGTGTGCCCAGGTACGGTGTTGACCAATATGACATATGGAATTCTACCTCCCTTCATATGGACGCTGCTGATACCAATCATATGGCTGGTGAGTAATACACATATCTTTGCTTATTAGTTAAAACATTGGGAAATGATGTAAGAGATTGAACTTGAAGGTTGCAGAATTCCACTAAGCTTGAGCTTTTAAGGATGTTTATTCGCATTTCTTTTGCAAGAGACAGACAGACAGGCAGGAAGAAGGTATCTTCCATCTGCTGGCTTACTCTCCAAATGACCGTATAGCCAGGGCCGGGGCAAGGTGCAGTCTTTACCTGGGAGCTCCGTCTGGGTTTCCTGTGTGGCCATCAGGGGCTGAAGCACCTGAATCGTCATTTACTGCATCCCAAGATGCATTAGTAGGAATGCTGGATCTGGAAGGAAAGTAGTTGGGACTTGAGTCTGAATTGCAACATGGAATGTGGAATCATAGGCAAAGGCTTAACCTGTTGTGCCACAAAACCTGCCCCAGCTTTAGGCATTTGAAGTCCTTATGTGTCACTTGTGCTTCCTCCTTCCAGGTGTTACCACTGTGCGATCCTCAGTATCCATTTCTCTTCAAGATGCTTTTTCTTTAATCATGTACTATGGGTCCCAAGATACTGTGCTTTTGGCAAATCTGCATTAAATGATGCTTAAGTAGTTACTTTGTGGTTCTATTCTAAACCATCTCCTAATGACTGTTATTTCTTTTTCTTAGCTTCGCTTTTTTGCAAATGCTTTCACTTTGACGCCGTACAATGGATCGGAAGCACTGGTATGTTCCTGTGATTCTATTGGCTGGTGTAACGGTTTAGCGGATATGAATTTGAAGTTTACTGGAAATAAGCAGTTTCAGCAGAAAAGAGAAACGTGCTCTGTGAATAATCCAGGTTGTATTTAGGGTTAGAGTGGAATATAAATCTCAATACAGAACGGCAGGAGTCAAGTTTCAAAATTTGGCGTCTACCATGGCACTGAATGTGTGCTTACAGGGAAGGGACTTCAGTAGCAACAAGGTCTGTCAGTAGCTGGGGGAGGGCAGGAGCTGAGAAGATAAAGTCAAACGATGACCTGGTATTCGGAGAGCCATTTCTCCTGGAGAAGGTGTTATCTTGCACATTAACAGCAGGGGCAGCTCAGTGCAATTCCTTTCCCTTGCATGAAGTCAGTGTTGTAATCAGGTCACTCCCGAAAAGACTCTTACATTATTTACTATAGCTGCCTGATGCAGAGAGTATGAATGCCGAGAGAGGAGTGGCTTTTGGCAGACAGACAATGGGGAGTTAGCTGCTCCCTGGCATTTTGGGAAGAAGCACAGCCGTACCCTTAGCATTGCTTTTGGCCCAGAGAAACATTCTCAGGTTCTCATTTCCCAGGTGATATTATAATACATTTCTGTTGTTCTAAGTCACAGTATTGGTCTTAATTTGTTGCAGCAAGAATATGAAATAGGTTATAGTAAGACAATAAGATACAGTGCATTACCAAATGCCCAGCTGCCTTGGTGTATCAGGAACTGTATAATCTTCTGAAATACAGTGATTAATATGATCGTTAGAACTCAGATACAGTATAATTCTCAAGAGCCGATGGTTTGGTTACCGCAGAAATGTCTCAACTGTAACATGATGTCTTTTCACTGTCATCATTAGTTTTAGTTTAAGTAAAAGCAAAAAGATATATGAAGAACAAAAAAAAGTGGTATAGTCAAATGAAAAAGTACTCAGCTTCCCTCATACTGACAGAAATACAAGTTTAATATACATATATAATTAAAGAGCATTCTTGACTTCAGTTTAGCAAAGACTACATGATTTGATAATGCACTGCATCCACCTGAGTAGAGACCATCCATCTGCATGGCCGGGGGAGGACTCTGACAAGGTCAGCAAAGTAGGAAGGGAGTGTACCCTTAATCCAACAGCCCCGTATATGCTATTCATCTTACAGATATACTCAAGCTTGCATTATGTTTGACCACAGTAGAAGTTCTAATAGTCCAAACTGGAACCAACCTATGTGTCCTTTTATCTGAAAAGTATATGAATTGTGATATTACTAAAATGGAATTCTGGACAAGTATGCTCTTTAAAAAAACAGCTCTGTATGTACTAATTTGAAAATCAGGCATACGTGCAAGTAAAAAATGCTGTATCTTATGCTTTCATGTGAGTGGTTTAGAAGAATGTATGTATTTTTTAGGTAGGCAGATTTTGTTTGGAAAAAGAAATACAAGAAACTTGTAGGAATGGTTGCTTTCACAAAGGAGAAGTATGTGGCTGTGAGTCTGGGAAGGGCAGGAAGCTGACTTATAACCCTTGATTGTTATTTGTGAGCAAGCTTCTTCGTTAATAAAATATTGTATCATGAGGTGCATATCCACTATAAATACCTGAGTCTGTATTCCACGAACTTGATTTGGGAACCAGGAAAGAAACTGCAAACATGGGGCCCAGCACGGTGGCGCAAGTGGTTAAGGTCCTTGCCTTGCACGCCCGGGATCCCATATGAGCGCCGGTTCTAATCCCGGCAGCCCCGCTTCCCTTCCAGCTCCCTGCTTGTGGCCCGGGAAAGCAGATGAGCACGGCCCAAAGCTTTGGGACCCTGCACCCGTGTGGGAGACCCGGAAGAGGCTCCTGGCTTCGGATTGGCATAGCATTGGCCATTGCGCTCACTTAGGGAGTGAATCATTGGACGGAAGATCTTCCTCTCTGTCTCTCCTCTCTTTATATCTGCCTTTCCAATAAAAAAATAATAAAAATAAATCTTTTAAAAAAAGAGAGAGACTGCAAACATGATTCACAAAGATGGCATTGAACAGGCCATTCTGTCTTCTCCCTCTACATTCCAGTAGGTATTCATGAAGATGTCCTAATTAGTTGATGATATCACAAAGGATTTTTGGGGTGAGTGTGTAGAGTAGTGATTGTAAACCCCAGTAAAATGAAATCATGGACATACTTTTTGTACAGGTCTGGCTTTTCCAACAAAGACCCGAGTCTCTCAGTCCTCTGACAAAATACATGAGCGCGACCACCGGCTTGGGAAACAATTACATCATCCACCAGAAGGTAAATGTGGTCTCGTTGTTGCCGCTGAAGATGCTCGCTGCCAGGCTCGTGCAGCCAGCTCTGCGTTCCTGAGCAGCCCCTCCACTTCCTCACCTCTTGGCCCAGGGCCCCACTCTGTGCCTTGGCACCAGACTGCCCTGGTTTTATCTCCTTCAGCTCCCTCTACCCATGAGCCTTTGCACATCTTGTTCTTTATTCTCCTTTCAGTAAGCCTGTGTCTGTCCTCCTTCAGCTCTTGGCTCGGGTCTCGGGCTCAGTGGACTCTGTTGGAGATGTGTTTCCTTGTATCAATTTTATGTGGCATTCAGTCACTCTTGAGTTTTCTGTCAGTAGGCAGGGGCCATTTGAAAATTCATGGGGAAAATAAATGACAAGGTAAATTCAATTAGGTGCAAAAGATTTTCAAGTCTATTCATAGTTTTTTTCATATTATGTATTTTTATGACTTTCTGAAGCCCTCCTCTACATGAATTTCAAATATTTTATACCACCATGAGCTTATCTTCTGATTCTTTTTCCGTGAACTTTTCTAAATCCCCTCAGATAAGCCCCATGAGAATGAAGAGAAAACATATTCTTTGCTTCCGCGTTGTCTTGCTCATGGAATATGCTCAGGAAACATGTAAAAAGTGGGTGAATCTGGTTGGGAGAATCAACTTTAACAGATTTGTGTCTTACGTTTTTGAAGATGCAGCTGATGGAGTATGACGAAATCCTATTAATACTATGTTTTAATAATAAAAACGAAACAGATTTACATACTTAGGAGATGAAAAGATCATTCTGAGCTAGATGAACTACTTTGTTGTACTTTTGTCATGGATAATGTTTATTCTCAACCTCCTATTTTTGCACCACTCAACCTTTATTGTGAGGAGCAATTTAGCGTAGGATAGGGCTAGATTAGGCGTGGCGTAATAGCCCAGTGGCTAAATCCTCACCTTGCAACTGCCTGGATCCCATGTGGGCACTAGTACATATTCTAGATGCTCCACTTCCCATCCAACTCTCTGCTTGTGGCCTGGGAAAGCAGTCAAGGATGGCCCAAAGCCTTGGGACCCTGTATCCGTGTGGGAAACCTGGAAGGGCTCCTGGCTTCACATTACATCAGCTCTAGCTGTTGTAGCCACTTGGGGAACAAATCAGCAGACAGAATATCTTTTATCTCGAGAGTGAGTGAGACAGAGAGAGACTAGCAAATAAATTATCTCAGGGAAATCAACTAAGTGGCAGTGATCCTAGCGTATTGCTTAGTAACATGAGGACTGTGAACCCTGCTGTCTGCTTTTCATGTGATTTACTAAAAATAAACCTTCTGTGATTTTTCCATAATATGTCCTATGTGATACTGGTTTCCTGAGCAGATTGGCAAGAAGCAGTTCTGCAGACTAGTTAGTGACTAATGTGTCCTGTTACTCCCCCTGTTGGAGAGACTTGCGTAGTGCATCTGAGCTCAGTAAACACTTTGAGAAGCAGAGACCCTGAGGGTTTACTCCTGCTGCTTGCAGATCGTTTTTGACTGTAGGATTTTTTCCTTCTCCCCCAGTTCACATCCCAAAGAACTCACTTTGGAGAACTCCATTGTAAATTAGGTTGTTAGATGTATTTGAACTTACTATCTGATAACCTAGGTATCAAAGGGAGAAAATGTTTAATTCTGCATAACAGAGTTACTTCTTGAGCATTCTATAGAAATACATTGAAGAAAATGTTTTAAAGCTTGACTAGTTTAGGCGGATCTACTCTCTTCTGTTAAAAGTCAAGGTTGAACTAGAAGCAGTGAAAAAACTGACCTGATTAGATGAATACAAATGTTGCCAACATGTTGCAAAATTTCTTGAATTTTGACCTTTGTTGTGAAGAAATAGATTGGCATTTGAAATTTAGATTTTCTGAACTGTTAAAGGAACCTTACCTTATAGGAACTGATTGTTTTTGTATACATGTGTCAGTTTCTGTAAAACACGCGCAAATGTGAAATAACAGTGAATTTGACAATATAGAATCTTTGATTTATTGCGTGTCAGTGCAGCTTAGAGAAAGGCACCCTTGGGCTGGCATGGCAGTTCTCCACATATCAGGCACCTAGCTCTACCAGTGTTAAGGAATAGTCTTTTATCCTTGTGGCTCACCAAAGAGCGTGGAAGAAAGGAAGAAAGATAGGGATGCCCTGTGCCTCTTCAAGAGCCTTCAAGTGCTGCTACTTACAACAGATTGGCAGGAATTTTGTCACTTCGCTCTCTTAGCTTCCCTGGCGGATAGGAAGTGTAGACTTGTGCCTGGTGAAAATCGGCGCTCTTTTACAGAAGAGGAATGTTACAGGGTAGTTGTGGGAAATTCGAAAGCCTTTTGATTTCTCTCTTTTATCCTTTTAAATCACAGTTGGTTGATATCCCCTGCTTCCAAGTGTGTCAGAGTTTGGGAACAGAGCCAAAACTGAGATGTTTGAGTCTGTAAGAAAGCATCAGTTGGTTTGGGTAGTGTTGGGGTTTGGACTGAGGGTTCAGACATCCTAGGGTTCTCAGCGTTCCCTACCATTCCCCACGTGGCTGACACCACGGACTGATGCTGCAGTTGTCGCCCATCCTTTATAGTTCCCTTACATATGTCAGATACCTTCATTCTAGACATGTCATTCATTTTTCCTTTCTCTTCATCACTGTATTTGCTGTCTTTTCAGATGGACGTAAATGAAGACACTGCTGAAAAACTTTACCAAAGCTTACTAGAACTGGAAAGGCAGATGAAAGTCTCCGTTCCAAAGGCAGATGGCCGGAGCTGACAGTGAAGAGCTGGGCACCGCTGGCCTTCTGTGCACTGCAGGGCGTGTGGCTTTCCACTGAGCTGGATGGTGTGCATTGATAGCGAACGCTGAGCTAGGCTGCTTCTTCCTTACAGAATAACGTCAACGACTGTGGGAATGCGTGTGTGTGTCTGTGTGTGTGTGTCTGAGTGTGCGCGCATGCGCGCTGTAGAAAGAGATGGGTGTAGTGAAAGTCTCTTGGCTGTTCTCCAGAGTAAGAGCACATCACGGTTACCAGCATCACCTTACAGGGCATCTGTTTGTGCTGTTCTGTCAGCCGGGTCCCAAGTTCGGTTCCGAGGGAACTGAGTGATTGTGACATGGCATGCACTGCATTTCCTCTTGGCCTACCTCTGCCCAAAGCCCTGCTCATTCACTGAGTGGCAGTCCTAGCCTTGTACCTTCATGAACAAGTTTTTTCTTAGGTCTTTGCTAAATTTCTTCCTTTGTCTGATGCTTCCAGCAGTCCTAAACTTACTAGGATCCTGACAGTTTCAATGCAAATGTCCATGTGGTTAATCACTGGAAAAAAGTTATATACACATATGAGCCAATTGAATTATTTTAAGGATATCTTTATTGATGTTGGAGTAGTTTTTGCGAACTCTGTGCCTGACCTGCAACATTATCTGGAAATCTGTTCATTGTTGATAAACTAATTATCATGATTATCTTTTAGTTGATGTAACCTTGCAGCAAAATATTTACTCACACTGTTTGAAGAAATTTTTGAATTGAGTAACAATGGTGTCTACTCATGTAAGATGCACCATCATAGAGGATAGTTAATGGGAGTTCATTTACATGTGTTACGATAATGAGCAAACTTTTCTTTTAAAAAAAAAATCTTAGAAAGGGTGGTGCCCATATTGAATGCCAGCACTGTAGGCCATGGCTTAACTAACTCTGTATACCATTACTCCTTCCCTGATGTTTCATTTTTTAAGGTAAATTGTGCACACATGTAGCTCTGTGGAAATTGATGCTATGCATTGGTTAATGCAACCAAGGTGCGCATACAGCTGCAAGGAGGTCCTGCTGCTGCCGCTGTTGCTCTACAGTAACACCCGTCCTCATGTCCCACTCTCATCCCTTGGAAGCCATTAGCATGTGCTTCATTTCCAGAATGTATCATGTCTAAAAGTGAGATGGTAGGGCTGTAGAAAGTGTTTAGTTTAAAGAAATGAACAGCCATCTCAGAGTGACATTCCACTTTAAGTACTCACCAACAAGGTGTGATAAGCCAATTTGTCGAAATCCCCACTAATATTTGATAGTACTGCTTTAAAGAATCCATTCTATGCAATGTATAATGCTCTCATTGTGGTTTAATTTGCATTTTCTTGATAGCAAAGGACGTTGAACATGTTTTTATGTGTTTCTTTGCCGTCTATATATTTTTTGGTGAACTGTCTGTTCCTACCTTTTGCCCATATTTAATTGGAATGGCTTTTTTTACTCTTGAGCTTTGAGTTTTTAAATATATTCTCAATGTAATTCTTTTGTATAGGTGGTTTGAGAGTATTCCCTGTCTGTAGCACATGTTTTGACTTTTGACAAGATATTTCATAGAACAAATTAAAAAAATTTGTTGTGGATTACACTTTGTTTTTATTTTTATTGCAAAGGTAAATTTACACAAAGAACCAGAGGAGAGAAGGAGAGACAGAAACACCTCTGTCTGCTGGCTTACTTTCTAATAGCCACAATGGCTGGGGCTGAGCCGATCTGAAGCCAGGAGCTCGTAGTCTCTTTTGGGTCTCCCACATGGGTGCAGGGTCCCAAGGTTTTGGGTTATCCTCTATTGCTTTCCCAGGAAAGGCCACAAGCAGAAAGCTAGTTGGGAAATGGAGCTCCCAGGACATGAACCAGTACCTACATGGGATCCTGGTGTTTGCAGGGGAAGGATCAGCCAGTTGAGCCGTAGTGCTGGGCCCTATGGGTTGTACTGTTAGGGTTATGTCTAAGAACATTCACAGAGCCTTTGGTGCTGAAGTCTAATATTCTGAAAGTTTTATAATAAAATCCACGATCCATTTTTTTAAAAGATTGATTTGTATGAAATAGAGAGTAACCGTGGTCTGGGGGAGACCTTGGATCTGCTGATTCACTCTGGAAATAGCTACAATAGCTGGGATTAGGCCAGGCCCCAAACCAGGAGCCAGGAACATCAGCCAGGTCTCTCGCATGAGTGGCAGCACTGAAATACGCCTTCACCTGCTGCTCCCCAGGTGCCTTGGCAGGGAGCTGGGTTGGAAGTGTAATAGCTGGGACTCAAACCAGCACTCTGAAAGGGACTGCAGGCATCTTCCATGGTAGCCTGACCCACTGTGCTACAATACCCACAAACCATTTTGAATTCATTTTTGTGTAAGGGGTGATGTTTTGGTTGCTTTTTAACCTGTGGTGCCTATTGTTCTAGCACCATCTACTGATTCTCCGTTGAATTACTTCTACAGCTTTATCAAAGTCTTTTCAGCATATTTGGTTCCGGCTGTCAGTGCACTGATTCGTGCACCAATACCCATACCAGTCTTAATTACTACATTCATCGTAGTAATTGTGAATAGCAGGTCGAGTGATTGCTCTCGGGTTGGTGTGCTTTGTCATGATTTGTTTTAGCCCGTCTACAGTCTATGCTTCCCATGTGCATTGCAGAAGAACCTTGTTTACCAAAATGATGCTGGCCTTCTGGTGAGAATTGTGTCAAGATTCTACGTAAAAATTGGGAAAATTGACTCTCCCAATCAATGAACATGGTATGTTTTTCCATTTATTTAGATCTTGTTTGATTTCTTTTATCAAGTTGAAGAAATTTTTAACATCCAGATCTGTATGTGTTTTGCAAAGAATATACTTATGTACTTAATTTTCTTCAGAGATTTTCTAAGTAAGATTCTCATCTATTCAAATATCTTAATTTTCATTGTTAATATGTGGAAATGTAATTGATACATGTGTTGTCCTTGTTTCCTGTGATGTTACTGACCTAACAATTCTAAGAGTTTAGGTTATTTGGAATTTTTCTATGTAGACGGTCATCTGAAAATAGAAATAGTTTTATTTCTTCTTTGTAATCTGGGTGATTTTATTTCTTTTTCTTGCCTTACTATACCAGCTGTCGGTTTCAGTGCAATGAATGACAGTTGGAAGGAGTAAAAAATCCTTGTCTTGGTGCTAAGTTTAGGGAAAAACGATTCAATCTGCCACTTTTAAGTATGATGATACATACTGACTTTTTAGGAATTCATTATCAAGTTAAGGCAATTATTCTATATTTCCAATTTACTGAACAGTTTGATCAAATGCTCTTCTTTGTCCATTAATATGATTATATGATTTTTTTCTTACTGATAATGGTGGATTACATCAATTGTCACATATTGACTCAGCCTCCTGTATGGAATAAATCTCACTTGACTCTGCTATGTAGTTCTTTTTTTTCCCCCACATATTGCTTACTCATCTTACCCATTTTGGCAATTGGTATTAATTGGTATTGATTCTTTAAGTATTTGATAGAGTTTACTAGTGAAATGATCTGGGCCTGAAGTTTTATATTATGGACCTTTTCAACTGTGAGTTAACTTTTAATGGCTATAGAACTATTCATAATGTCTGTTTCAATGTTTTGATCACTTCTGAACTTTGATGAATTGATACAATTTTTTCCTAAGTTGTTATTTTTTTAAAAAGATTTATTTATCTTTGTTAGAAAGACAGTTTTACAGAGAGACAGAAGGTCCATCTGTTGGTTCACTCCCCAAATGACTGCAATGGTGGAGATGAGATGAGCTGAAGCCAGGAACCAGGAGCCTCTTCCCAGGCTCCAAAGTGTAAAGGGTCCCAAGGCATTGGGCCATTGTCCTCTCGTTTTTTTCAGACCATAAACAGGGAGCTGAGTCAGAAGTGAAGCATTCAGGACAGGAACCAGTTATCCGTATCGGATGTGGCACTTGGAGGTGGAGGATTAGCCAGTTGAGCTAGCATCCTGGCCGCTAGGTTGTGATACGATGAGCCTCAAGTTGCTCTCCGTGTTTCCTTGGCTGGAGGCGGTACTCTCATTTCATTCATGATGTTGGTGTCTTTTCACATTAGATTGAAGGACAGAAATGCTGGGAATTTGTTGGTTTTATTGATATTTTGCAGGAATACCTTTTTTTTTGGTCACTGAATTTCTCAGCTTTCCTATTGTCAGTTTCAGCTTAGATCTCTTTATTTTCTTCCTTCCTGCTTTGGATTATTTTTGTTTTCTTTTTCTAGTTTATTTAAATAAGACTGATTGACTTGAAACTTTTCTGCAATCCTCTTTTAAATATTCAGTGTTGCAGATTTCCTCTGGCGCTGTCTTAGTTGCTGGCCATATTTTTCTTTTTGGCACATTGCATTATTATCCAAGTCTGCCAATTTTCATCAATTTCCTTTCAGACTTTTTCACCCCTGATTCATTTCTAGTTGAAGTTTTGTTATTGATTTTTGGTTTTATTTCACTGAAGCCAGAGAATACATTCTGTTTTGTGTTCTTTCAAGTTTGTGAGGATCCGTTTTATGGCCCAGGCTACAGTCTACCTTTGTTGTGTCTGCTATATTTCCTTTCAGAAAACTCAGATGACTTGTCCAGAGTTTGTGGTGGTTGTTCCAGAAGCCTGAACTGTGGGAGAGTCACTCTGCTGTATGGAAAGCAGGACTTCTCGGTTCTTTTCAGTTCTGTCTTTATTTCTGAGCTGATTTTGTGTTCCTCCATCCCTTTGCTGAAAGAAGTCAATCAATTGAATCAGAAGTTATCCTAGTCTTGTTTCTGGTTTTAGTTCTGTGTCTTTGTTCCATGATGTGTTAGAAGTATTTCTGGGGCAGCCACAAGTTAAGCTGCAGCTTGTGGCACTGGCATCCCATACGGGCCTGACTCATATCCCAGCTGCTCCACTTCCGACCCAGCTCTCTGCCAATGTGCCTGGGAAAGCAGCGGAAGATGATGCAAAGGCGTGGGTTCCTGCAGCCGGAAGAGATACCAGATGAGGCTCTTGGCTTCTGGCTTCAGCCTGGCCCAGCCCTATTGTAGCCTTCTGGGGAGTGAATCACAGATGAAAGATTCTCCCTCTTCCTCTTTCTCTGTAACTCTTTAAAATAAATGAACATTTTAAAAGCTTGTTTTGGGATAATTAGCCTGCATTGTCTCCTTCCTTGTCATTGTGCCCTTGAGTATGAGGGAGTGTACGTTATGGGTCTCAACTAAAGTATCTCTCTCTTGTTTTGTTTTCTTTACCTCTTAGGTATTTTCTAGTCATTCAGTTTGGAAATCATCATACTTCTCTATTTTTCTCACCTGTTGTATCTACTTCTTCTTTTTGCCACTTGATGGCACCTAATATGTGCATTTTGTTTGCTGCCTTGCAACCCACAACAGTAGAAGCTCCATAAGGGTAAGGACTTTTTGTAGTTGGTGTGTTGTGTATGTCTAAAGTAGATCAAGATCTAACACATTGTAGGCTATAGATTCAAAATTTGGTATATTAAAGAAATACCTTAATGATTGATTCAACAAAAGTTCATTTGAATAAAAGTATATCCCTCTGCAAGTTATAGCCTTTGGGCCTGGCATTGTGGTACATGGGGTTAAATCACAGCTGGAGACACTAGCATTTTATAGAGATTCCAATTTGAGTCCTGGCTGCTCTGCTTCTGATCTGGCTTCCTGCCAATGATGCAGAGTGCGAGTGAGATTACGGCCAACAAGTCTAAGGTTTATTAAGGAGTCTATTTACCAGGCTTGGTGATAACAGGGCCCACTAGAAATAGCAAATCACAAGTCCATATAGCAATCCCATCA